GAGCCATTTCCGACCCCATAAATCATATATATTCTTGATCAGCATCTACAGGCCTTTCTTTCTAGCTTTATCCGGCCGAAAAAAAAATGTTTCAGAAATTTCCCATTTTTCGGAAAAAAGGAAAGGGGTTGCATCATGAAAATTCGCAAAAATCGGCCAAAAATTCACTTTTTAAATTGAGTATCCAGTTTTGTTAACCTGCTAGAAATTAACATACTGCCGCTTTCCGAATTGAAATTAATGCGTTTTTGGCTGAGTTATGAGATTTTTAAATTTTGATTTGTCGAAAAATTTCATATAAAAATATTGGTAATATCGGTATAAAAATGGTAATGGACCTTCAGTCAGAAGCTTAAAATAAGTGAAGGAGCCATTTCCGACCCCATAAATCATATATATTCTTGATCAGCATCTACAGGCCTTTCTTTCTAGCTTTATCCGGCCGAAAAAAAAATGTTTCAGAAATTTCCCATTTTTCGGAAAAAAGGAAAGGGGTTACATCATGAAAATTCGCAAAAATCGGCCAAAAATTCACTTTTTAAATTGAGTATGCAGTTTTGCTAACCTGCTAAAAATTAACATACTGCCGCTTTCCGAATTGAAATTAATGCGTTTTTGGCGGAGTTATGAGATTTTTAAATTTTGATTTGTCGAAAAATTTCATATAAAAAAATTAACATACTGCCGCTTTCCGAATTGAAATTAATGCGTTTTTGGCTGAGTTATGAGATTTTTAAATTTTGATTTGTCGAAAAATTTCATATAAAAATATTGGTAATATCGGTATAAAAATGGTAATGGACCTTCAGTCAGAAGCTTAAAAATAAGTGAAGGAGCCATTTCCGACCCCATAAATCATATATATTCTTGATCAGCATCTACAGGCCTTTCTTTCTAGCTTTATCCGGCTGAAAAAAAAAATAAGTAAATCGTTTAAAACTAATTTATATAAATAAAGTGAATTAAAGGCATAAATAAATTTCTTAAATTTCATTATGTTTCATTCGCTTGCATTTAGTTTAGTTTCTTTTTTAGAATTTAAAAATCTTTAAATTGCCCAAAAAGAAAAAAGGTAAAGAAAGGCAGCAGCACCCCAAGTGTTAAAATTGAGAACCACAAGAGTGGATCGTATTCTCTCTAAGTCCCTCTCCCGCTCTTAGGTTCCACCTACCAGATCGAGAGAGAGGTACTTCCTAACGGGCATTTCTACGGAGTATTCAAGGAAGTGTTGCGTTTAGATTTTTTTCTGGCTACATCTACCAATAACCACAGACGACATGAATTTAACTTTTTTTCCCGCTAGATTTAGCGCATTCCAATTGCCTAATTATGCATTCTTCAAATGTAATCTGGCGTAATTTTAGCTTTCCAAACACTTCTTCTAATAATAAATTTAATGCTGTTAACTTTAACAAGTAACTGTCTGGCAATTTATATTTATTTTTATGTTTAGCTTTTTTTAGCTTATTTGGGCTCAAAGTCTAGCTAAAACGCCCACAACTTGGCAGCACTGATTGAAGGATAGGTGAAGCGAAAAAATTCCGCGCGCAAATGCACAGAAAAGGCGGGCTCAAAGGAAATAAGAAAATATGTTTGGTTCACTCACTCGCATTGAATTATATGCAGCTGCAGCTCCCAACGGCGAATTAGAAAACGAAAAAGGATGAAAAAGACGAAATTAAGCCTTCTTATTGAAGGCATTGAAAATGCGAATACAATTACTTTGCCTGCTTAGATTTCCACAAAATTAACTAGCCATGATCTTGGCTATGTAATATGTAGTTACATATATAAATACTTACATATTTACATGTAATTATATTATATACATGTAATTATATATATATATGTGCTTACAAACACATTTACACGCATTTAGTAATTAAAAAACACACATACGATCGCGGCCCGGAATGCCCCCGTTTCACACACACTTTTCACTGCCGGGGCTCACTGATTTTTCGCATTTTCGACTGATTTTCCCCGGTAATTTTCCGTTTGCTTTTACCGTTGACCGACGCGGCGATCTCCTGCATGGAGGTTTTTCCGTTTTCGGTTTTCTTGCTTCCACTCCGGCCGGCGTCGTGCGAGGAACTGATTTTGCATGGCCATCGGGAGAGCTCTCTATGTCATATTGGAAGGACGCGTTGCTTCGGCTAATTGGAAAGAGGCGTCAGAGAGTGAGAGAGATCAGGTGGCCACTTTCAAAGCACTTCCTGGATCAACTTAGACTCAAACCATGGTTGCAAGATCCAATTAGTTTATCTTTATCTAATTGGGTTGCGGTGCTAATTATTTTTAAATGGAAAAATAAATAATAAATAAGTTTAAAAGAAACTAAATTGGATTTATGCAAATATCAAGCGTTTTTAATATCCTTGAGTATTATAATTTTAGTTAAAAACTTGTAAGGCTGTGAAGAAGTCATTTCCGACCCTATAAATCATAGAAAGTTTTGTTAATCTGCTAAAAATTAACAAAAAGCGTTTTCTGAATTGTAATTAATGGTTTTTTGGTTTAGTTATGGATTTTTTAAATATTGATTTGTCCGAAAAATGCCATGTAAAAATGTAGTTAATATCCATTAAAAAATGGTATTGCACCTTCAGTCGGAAGCTTAAAACTAAGTGAAGGAGTCATTTCCGACCCTATAAATCATAGACAGTTTTGTTAATCTGCTAAAAATGAACATATCAGCGTTTTCCAAATTGAAATTAATGGTTTTTTGGCTTAGTTATGGATTTAAGGATCTATGGGTGTTTAAATTTGCATGTAAAAAGGTAGTCTTCTTTTGGCAGAGTTATGAGTTCTTTATTTTAAATTCAGTTGTGTCCAATTTCGGTTTCGACCTTTTAATTATATTGCAAACTGAAAGGTTTTATAATTTTCGGGTTCTCGAAGTTAGTTCCCTTTCTTGTTAAAAATTAAAGTTAAAGTAAAGCAGACACACCCTTGTTTTGTTTATATAATTTATTGTTTATTTAACGTTCCATCTGCGTGAACTTTTACTGATTATTATAATTAATTATTGTTAATTACAGGCTAATGTTTTAATTGCTAGACTTTAGCAAGTTCTAAAAAAGACATTACACATTATTATTCTTACGTAGATTATACCGCTTGACATTTAACATTACAACTAGCTAAGCTTACGCAAAAAAAAGTATTACAAATATTGTTTCGTTATATTTTTACTTTTCTTTCTTTAATATATATATATATATTTTAGGTTCATATAACAACGCAAAATAAAAAACAAACAAAATCTAAAAGACGGAAACCAAAAAGTGTTTAAAGAGCACAACTCGTTTGAACAAACACGCACTGAACAATTTGCTGGGAAATATATATATAAAAGCGTTAGAATTTTTTTTAACTAAAAGTTTTAATTGAATTACACACTAGACCAACGCTTTCGCTTCTAATAATAATTAAAAATACAAACAAAAATTGAGCTAAACAAAAGGTTTTCAAGTTTGAACTATATACCAGAAATGTATATTTCATAGAATTTCGCTAAAAAAAAATAATAATAATAATAAACAAAAATTACAATCCCGTCCACCAACTTATACACCCACACAACAACCCACCCGCCCCCATTTATCGCTGGAACCTCCCCAAAACTTTGTTATTAATAATTTCCCCTCCCTCTTTCCCTTTCTCTCCTCTCGCACTCTTTCTCTTTCACCCTCTGATAAGAACGCAGCGCCAAGGACGATGGCAAAGGCTTTGATAACAGGCCAGAGTCAGAGCCGAAAAGCAAAATGCCTTTGCCTCTCTGGTATTCTGAGTATTAAACTACAGTCAAACATCCCTAGGTCGAATTTCAAATGAATATTCAAGCTTCTATTCATTGCTTTTAATTTAAATTAAATAAATAAGAAATAGGAAGTCAATTTATATTATTAAAATAAGTTTACTAATTGCAATTGGAGCTTTGCATCTTGAAGTTAGTTAGGAGAATGTATAGATTTTATTTTCTTTTCAAAAATAAAGGAAGCTTAAAATCTTTAAAAACAAACAACTTTAAAGGTAAATTTTTAGAAGAATTGCTTTTAGAACATAATATTTATAAGTTTCTTTCAAAAAATTGTTTTTAGTTAAGAATATTTACAGAATTTGTTTTTAGATTTGCTTGTAGATTAATATATTTATGCTTTTTTTGCAGAAGAGTTATAATTTTTTAGGCGAACTGTAAATAATTATTTACATATTTCAAAATATACTTAGAAGATATTTGAGAACTGCGTTTAGATGAAAATATTTAGAAGATTTGTTAACTTTTTGATAAAAAATTAAGACTTTCTTCTAGATAGAAAATATAATTAAGCCTGTATTTAGATAAACTATCAAAATATAATGTTTCTAAAAATTCGACTTGGAAGATTTTAAACTGTATTGGAGTCAATGCTCCCTGTCTCGCTCGACCGCGATCTGAAATCGAGCGAGGCGGCGCTATATATATAAATATATACATATATATGCATATATAGGAAGGAAAGGCGAGCGTTTGTTTAATTTCTATCGATTGCAAAATCCGTTTAACTGTTAATGAGTCGCGTATTTAGCGTGTTCTAGACCTAAGACGAAATAAATATACATATACGTGTTTATTAGTTTTCTTTTTGTATGTTTTTTGTACTCTCTTTACACTGGTATGTGTGTGTGTGTGGGGAGGGGGGGGGGGGATAAGTTTAAAATTTCAACTAAAACCCAAAGTCGAGCACTGATCTAAATATTCACAGACAGACACACACGATAGCATTCATACACATATTTACACTTTAAACGTAATTACATAACGAAGATTATTGTTTATGGAACGACTTCGACAGCACAACGCATCGATCGATCGATCGGATCGGATCGGATCGGATCGGGTGATATGGTTGATATATACATAATCTCGAATGATCACTGGATAGCCACACGGAAATTGTATACCAAAGTTGTATCGTATCGCAGAAGGGCTTACATAAGCTATATAAAGATTGAGATTGAAATGATCGTGATCGCATAATTATTACTGTCATAATCATCTACAAATAAATGCTACTTTGTCACTTTGGCACAAACAAAAATAAGTTGTAGTTAAATTTAGTTATTGGTAAAATCAGTAAAGATTTAGTTGTTGATTGATTTCCGATTCGATACTACAAAATCAATTGCAAAGTAGTTTAAGTAGTTGTTGGTAAAATACAAACATAGTTGCTAATGAAAGGTGTTCTAGATTAAAATCAATTATTGGTTAAAACAGAAAGAAGTTCTTGGTGAAAATAAATCACTAAAATCTAGGATATTTTCTAGTAACGATGCTATAAGCCTGGACTTTAAGCTAAAGTTAAACATAGCTTCTGCTCTTCAAGTGATACATTTTCACTTTGTTTAAATTTCCGAGCTATCTTCATTATACCACACCGATCACTCTTGTGCTGTTGATTTGCGTTGCCATAGTTCCACACCCATTTTAGAAGGCATACCAAGTTCCATCGGCACGTCATCGCAGCGTGCTGGTCAAGGATCGATGCAGGACACTGGGACGCGTATGGATCACTGGCTGCGACGCTGGTGGTGGCGTATTGCTATTCGGATCAGGGGTATCCGGCGCCTCGCCGGCACTTAGGCTGCTGGCCGGTGACAATATGCAGGAAGCCGTTTCTGCCTCGCTGAGGCAACTGCTCAATTGCCGGATTACGCTTTGCGAGGCGCCACGCTGTTGCTGCTGCTCTCGTTCCCTTTCCCGATCACGCTGATTCTGCTGCTCTTGTTGAAACTTTCTGGCGGCTGTCACATTTACCACACTCACCGACTTGGAAATGGAGTTCTTTACCGACGACGGGGCCGGCGGCACCAGGGCCAAGGCGGGCGTCGGCGAGGGTGCCAGCTCCTCAAGGATCAATGTATTGGCCGGTGAACTATAGCCATCATCCATTAGCGTATCCAAAGACTGAACGCCCGCTGCCTCACCCGATGATGATTCGACGCTCTTTTGCAGGTTCTCAATCAAGTAGAGGACAATCCTTTCCAGCTGCTGCGGCGCCTGGGAGGCGGGCAAATCGGGACTGCTGCTCTGTGTGGGCATCTCTGCTTTGATAATTGTCGAGAATTTCTCCTTCATCTCGAGAACCTTTCGTCGGCCAGCCTCATCGTCCAGCAGCGTGTTGACGCAGAAAAAGGAGTGCACTTTAGTGCTGCCCGGATCAATTTCGAGGAAACCCTTGGTGTGCAGGTAGATGAAGCGACCATTTCGGGACAACAGCCGGTAGCAGCTCTCGCCATAGTCGCTATTGCAGTCATACATTTGGCGCAGGGCCACGATAACCCAGCGAACGTCGTCCAAGTGCATAAAGCAGAAGGGACTCAGATTGCGCACCTAGAAGATGGGGGAGAAGCATGGTTTAAAAATAAAGATATCATAGAGGGATTGGCCACACACCTCATCCTTCATGTAGCCGGCCACCAGGCCAATTCGCTGATCACAGTCAATGATGCTGCCATCGATTAGATGCCTTGTCTTGTACTCCAATTGATAGGGCTCTGGCTGCCGGTAGAATGTCATCCCATTCACCTCTGCCGCCTCCTCCACGGATCCTCCACGTTCCTCGCGTAGAACCCGAGCCATGGCCACCAGAACGATATCATTGCCGCTAATTCCATGCAATGCCGCCTGCGCGATGGCATCATGCTGCGGCGGCGGAACTGTCGCCGCTTCAGCCGCCGCCGCCGCAGCAGCAGCGGCAGCCAGCATATTATTGTTCCTTGACCTTCTGATTAACTGGGAAACAATGGGATAGTTGGCAGCTGCGCCGCCGGTTAGCGAGGAGTCGCTGCGTCGAAAGCAACCATCGATCTTCACCAGCTCGTAGTGGCGTGTAGCCTCCGCTCGGGTAGATGCACGGGCCAGGCGCACGGTGAAGCAGCGGCGGTCGGAACGCAAGCGTTCATCGATGGCCGCCAGATGGGCTATGCTGCGCGGACTGGGCGTGCGACGATTGTAGGGATCCTCACCTAACCTATCCTCATCATCATCATCCTCCTGCTGCTGCCGCTGCTGCTGGTGTTCTTCTTCCCGCTCCATGTCCTCCTCCTCTAGATCACTACCCGAGGCAGAGGCCGAAGTGGAAGTGGAGTGCTGCTGGGTGGTGTGCTGTTGCTGGTGATGCTGCTGGTGTTGTTGTTGTTGCTGCTGCTGGTAGAACAACGTCTCGATATCTCTAGGTATCAGCTGCTTCCGCAACAGGCCCTGGTCGTCGGGATGGGTGATCTGCAGCAGATTCTGGCCATACAAATCGGACTGACAGTGTCCCAGCAGCTGCTCGACGCTCGAGGAGACCAGCACGATCTGACCGCTGCAGGTGAGTGTGATGAAGCAGCTGTCCAGCAGCTGCAGCAGCGTGTCCGTGAGATGCAGGCTGGGATTCTGGATAGTGGGCAGCTCCGTGGCGGATGCAGAGGCGGAGGAGCAACCCTTGAGGCCAAGTTTCCGTCGCCGTCGGGATGCGGACTTGCCAAAGACATACTGCAAGCGCAGGCCGTGCGTGGCGAACCGAAGGACGGCGGTCTTGTCCAGGCGCCGTGAAGATTCCGCCGCATGCGGCACCATGGTGGCCAGCTCCTGGATGCTGGCATTCAGCTTGTCGCGTCGCTGCTTCTCGGCCAAATTGCGGGCTTCCCGGCCGTTGGCCGCCTCCGCTGAGGAGGAGCCCGTACCGGAGCCCCCCACCACGTCCACGGGGGCCGTCTCGGTTGCTGCCATTGCTCGGGGCTGGCTGGCGCTTGGCGTAATCCTCGCCAGCAACTCGCTCTCGTTCACTTTGTGGAAATCAATTGGCGCCTTGCGGTAAATGGAAGTCGTCACTCTCCATAACAGAGGTTACTCCCCCCGCGCTTGTGCTCCGTTTGCTTTTATCACTCCTCTTCGTCGCTTAATATTTTATTAAAAATATTTTTGATGTGTGTTTTTTTGTTTTTGCTGCTTTTAAAGTTTTCAAGGTCTCCGCTTATGCTCCTCGCCCCCTCTCGCTCACGCACGCAAGCACACACACACACTGGGGGCAACACACAAACACACACACGTCACTCTCACGCAACGTACATATGTTTTCTCTTTTTCGCCTTCGTACTTTTCCACTTGCTCCTCGCTTTATTACTGTTATTATTACTCGTTTTTCTATTATTTACTTATGCGTTTCGCCTTGTATATTTTCTTAGCCGTTGTTTTCTGTTGTCTTTTTTTTTTTTTGATTGCGTTGCGAATCTCAATCTCCTTTGCGTTGTGGTTGGTTTTACGTGTTGTTGGTGGTGCTTCTGATGTTGTTGTTGTTGCTGTTATTATGATTGTTTTTGTTGGTGGCTCAGCTCTGCTGTGCTGTTGTTGTTGTTATTGTGTGTTTTTTTGCTGCTGTGAGGTAACTCTCTTTCCACTGATTGGCAACGGCGACTGCCGCTTTACACTGCACTCACTATTTGCACTGGTTTTTGTTTATATTAAGTGATTAATTGTTTATTAAACAATTATGTAGCTCTATGGCCATGCTAGTGCTGGAAAGTGCGCCGCCACAGTTGCAGTGCTGAAAGAGGTCGCGCTAGTGTTGGCAAGCGGCTGTCCATCACCTCTTTGCATTATTTTCGCGAAACACTATATTTTCGCTTTAAATTTAGCGCGGTACAGGGTTCGAATATAAATATAAATGAATTCAAGGAATAAAGGGAATAACACCAACAGAGGTCAATTAAGACTAAGACTATAATTTACCTTTATCCATGAGCATAAAACTGATTGAATATTTATATTTTTGTCAAGGTACGGCACAGACTTTTCGATCAAGCCACCTGCTGTTAAAAATTTAAATTCGCTTTCTATATGTCTTATGAATAATATGTTTCAAAATTGTCAGGTTTATTTCATTCTATCTCGATTCGATATAATTCGATTCGATAATTCGCAATAAATCGATCACATCGCGTGCGTGATCATCTGTTTTTGTGCCAATTGGAAGAAACAGTGTGACCAGCCAACCAGGAAAGAATATTCCCGAGGGGAGCAGGAATCTGCCAGCTGTGCACGTGAAGTCGAAAGCTGCGAAACAGGGTAAATCTGTGATCGAATCCGGTAAGTTTACAGAGTATATATGTGTCCATAGCACCTGCTATAGCATCTAAATCACTTCCCCTTCAGAAATGTCCAAGGCCAAGGGTAAGAAGAAGGAGCGCTTCGACGACAACGACGACGAGCAGTTGGAGAAAGTGGTGACGCAGGAGAAGAAGGCACCGAACAAGAAGGGTGGTGGAAAGAAGGGCAAGCGAGGCGGCGACTCCAGTGATGACGATTTTGCACCGCCCAAGGGCCGGGATGCTGACGACCTAGAGAGCATTGCCTCCTCCACGCAGAGCAAGCAACAACAGCCGAAGAAACAAGCCAAAAAGGGCAAGAAGGGCAAGAAAAACGATGACTGGAGCGACGAGGATGAGAAGCCAGTGAGGGCTCTGGCCGTCGACGACGATGAGGACGAGGAGGAGCCACCGCAGGCCAAGCCAGCTGCCAAAAAACAGCCGCCGCCCAGCAAGAAAAACAAGAAGAACAAAAAGAAAAACGATGATTTCTCAGATGAGGACGAACCGGAGCTGGATCTTGGGGAGCCCGATGAGGATGAGGAGGAACTGCCGGCGGTGAAAGCTGCCAAGCCCGCCTCCAAAAAGTCCAAAAAGAAGCAGGCGCAGCAGCAAAAGAACAAGTTCGCCATGAGCGACGATGACGATGAGGATCTTGACCTCGAAGAGGATCAGGTTGACTCCGAGGAAGAGCAGCTGCCCGTTAAGCCCGCTGCCAAGAAATCTAACAAGAAGCAGAAGCAAAAGTTCGTCGCCAGCGAGGATGAGAATGAACCCGAGGCAGAGGACGATGAGCAGCCCGAGAAGGAAGTGGAGGAGCAAAAGGTAGAGGAAGTGCTCAGCGACCAGGTGGCTGCCGTGACGCTCAAGGAGGAGTCTCCATCAGTTCCTGAACCAACAGTGGAAGTTGCCCAGCCCGAAGAGGAACTGGAAGCCGAGGCCGAACCCGAAGACGATCCCAAGTCCGAGGAGTCCAACAAGGAGGCCAAGGAGAAGAAGCTCACCCACAAGGAGAAGAAAAAGCAAAAGAAGCAGCAGGAGTACGAGCGTCAAATGGAGCTGATGACCAAGAAGGGCGGCGCCGGGCACTCTGATCTGGACAATAATTTCACCATGTCGCAGGTGCAAAAGAGCGCTGGACAACAGGCTGCCTTGGAGCATGCCGTGGACATCAAGATTGAGAATTTCACCATCTCAGCCAAGGGTGAGTCACTTCCAAAGAATTTACTAGACGCTTTTCCTTACACACTCTCCTCTAGGTAATGATCTGTTTGTGAACGCCAATCTACTGATTGCTCATGGCCGTCGCTATGGCCTGGTTGGACCCAACGGACATGGCAAGACCACCCTGCTCCGTCACATTGCCACCCGTGCCTTTGCCATACCGCCCAACATTGATGTACTGCTCTGCGAACAGGAAGTGGTGGCCACCGATAAGACGGCCATTGAAACGATCCTCGAAGCGGACGTACGTCGCACCAATATGCTGAAAAAGGCCGATGATCTGGAGAAGCAGTTCGCTGCCGGCGACATGACCGTCCAGGAGGAGCTAAACGACACATTTGCGGAGCTCAAGGCCATCGGTGCCTATTCGGCTGAGGCCAGGGCTAGGAGAATCCTTGCCGGTCTCGGTTTTAGCAAGGAGATGCAGGACAGACCCACCAACAAGTTCTCCGGTGGCTGGCGCATGCGTGTCTCCCTGGCCAGGGCTCTGTATCTGGAGCCCACGCTCCTTATGCTCGATGAACCGACGAATCATTTGGACCTGAACGCCGTCATCTGGCTGGATAACTATCTGCAAGGCTGGAAGAAGACGCTGCTGATCGTGTCCCACGACCAGAGTTTCCTTGACAATGTCTGCAACGAGATCATCCATCTCGATCAGAAGAAGCTGCAGTACTACAAGGGCAACTACTCCATGTTCAAGAAGATGTACGTGCAGAAGCGTCGCGAGATGATCAAGGAATACGAGAAGCAGGAGAAGCGTCTGCGCGAGCTCAAGGCTCATGGTCAGTCGAAGAAGGCGGCGGAGAAGAAGCAAAAGGAGTCGCTCACCCGAAAGCAGGAGAAGAACAAGTCCAAGCAGCAGAAGCAGGACGAGGATGAGGGCCCCCAGGAGCTTCTCGCTCGGCCCAAGGAATATATTGTCAAGTTCCGCTTCCCGGAGCCATCGCAACTCCAGCCACCCATTTTGGGTGTCCACAACGTTACCTTTGCCTTTGCCGGCCAGAAGCCTCTCTTCATCAAGGCTGACTTTGGCATTGACCTCACCAGTCGCGTGGCCATCGTGGGACCCAACGGTGTCGGCAAATCCACGTTCCTCAAGCTACTTCTCGGCGAACTGGAGCCTCAGGAAGGCGAGCAGCGTAAGAACCATCGACTGCATGTGGGACGCTTCGATCAGCACTCCGGTGAGCATCTGACGGCCGAGGAATCGGCGGCGGAGTATCTGCAGCGTCTGTTCAACCTGCCGCACGAGAAGGCGCGCAAGGCTCTGGGCTCCTTTGGTCTAGTCAGTCATGCGCATACCATCAAGATGAAGGATCTGTCCGGTGGCCAGAAGGCACGCGTTGCCCTTGCCGAACTCTGCCTGAGTGCGCCCGATGTGCTCATCCTTGATGAGCCCACCAACAACCTGGATATTGAGAGCATTGACGCCCTGGCGGAGGCCATCAATGAGTACGAAGGCGGCGTCATCATTGTCTCTCACGACGAGCGATTAATCCGTGAAACAGGCTGCACCCTATACGTCATCGAGGATCAGACGATCAATGAGATTGATGGAGAGTTCGATGACTACAGGAAGGAGGTGCTGGACTCGCTGGGCGAGGTGGTCAACAATCCCAGCGTGGTGGCCAATGCGGCGGTGCTGCAATAGCCCTGGACACTGGGAGTCCCAGCATTAACAACATCTCGTCAACCGGCTAGCCCTCTGTTAATTGTTCAACTGTTTAATGGTTTATAGTTAGTTAGCCTTTTTATACCAACCAATCTATATATATTATATACAGCAACAAATTGTGAGAGTAACAAATTAAAAGAAAAAACAAGAAGTATATGATTTGTTTCAATTTCAATGGGAATTTCTGATATTTCAGCAAATTACAGTTTATATTTCAGTTCGCAGACCGATTTTGTGAGAGGCAAGGTAGAAAAAAAGGAAGGAAAATTTCAAGCTTATAATTAATACCCTAGTTCCTAAGCCTAAACTATGGAAAGTGCTCCCCTAGCCACTGCGATAGAAGCCCTTCACATTGTTGATGAGGTGGGCCATCCCATTGTAGCCATCCGTATCGAAATCAATGTTCTCGCCGCCAAACTCTATAACCTGCAAGTTGAGGGATGCAAAAAAGTAAGTACAGAAGACAACTCCTGCCAAAATCAAGCAACTACACTACCTCTTTGGCCCTGAGGGAGTCGGCGCCATGCGGCACTCCGATCACCTCCACCCAGGCTCCTGTGGCGACGTCCAGCTCGCCCGGCAAATTAATGCGCAGCTTGTGCTTGTCCGTGGAACTGGCCAGCAAAGTGGTCCCGGCCACGCTCTCCACGCGCACCATTATGCTCACCGTCTGGCCGGAAAACTGCTTCAGCATGCTGCCATTGATGATTGAGCGTGGATCAAAGGGTTCCATCATCTTAATGCAGTTAATTAGATTGGATTTTCGGTGGAAGCTGCGAGAATTTCCGAATTTCGGCAAGAGATGAAATGCAGTAAACAAGAAAGACCGCCAAACAGTGTGACCGCAGGCAGGCAGTGTTGCATAGATATCGATAGACATTGGGTATCGATAGGAAGCTGGCAGCTCAACACACCTCTAAAAAAACAGATTTCGTGGTGGAGCCGTGCGAACGGGGAACAATGAAGCAGCAGCTGTTGCCTGCTAATTGGAAAATTAAACAAATCCCGCACACACCGCAACAACGGACGGGCCGCGTCGCGATTTTGTGAGTTTCGTGTGAAGTTGGGCAAATTGAAAAAGCGTCGCAGGAGCCCTCCGCCTCGGCACAACACACGCAACAACCGAGCGAATCGAACAGAAAATACCAAAGTTAATAGTTTTGTTTTCGTAATACAATATCTCGGTGCGGGAGTGAAACAGAGCCAGAGAGAGAGAGAGAGCGAGAGCGCTGTACCGAGTTCCCGAGTCCGAGTGGGGGACAAGAAATTCAATTCCAATTCCCAATTGTTCAAAATTCAAAAATCAATTCCAACTCCACTCGATTCGCTCGTAGTTTGTTTTTGGCCAAAAGCGATACGCCCGCATGCAGCAGCGGTTGCAATATGGCGGCGAGTGAACAGGAAGCGAAGATGGCCACGACGGTGCGCCTGCCCATTGTGGGCATGACCTGTCAGTCCTGTGTGCGCAACATCCAGGAGCATATTGGCCAGAAGCCTGGAGTGCTGGTCGCCCGCGTTCTGCTGGAGGAGCAGGCGGGCTACTTTGACTACGATCCGCATCAGACCGATCCCGTTCGGATAGCCAGCGATATCGACGACATGGGCTTCGAGTGCAGCTATTCCGGGGAGCAGATAGAACAGGATAAGGCGACAAACGGCATCGGTGCAGCCTTGTGGACCAACATCCGGGTGGTGGGCATGACCTGCCAGTCGTGCGTGCGCAACATTGAGGGAAATATTGGCACAAAGCCCGGCATCCTCGCCATCGAGGTGGAGCTGGCAGCCAAGAACGCCCGCGTCCAGTACGATCCCGCCCAGTTAACGCCCGACCAGGTGGCCGAACTCATTGACGACATGGGCTTCGAGGCGTCGGTGCAAACAACGATACAATCCACCACACCGAGCCCCAGGACGCCGCCTAGTAGAAGATCGCCACGAAAGAGTCCAGATCCCGTCCAGCAGAATGGCAATGCCGTTGCCATACCCGTGGAACAGGAGCTGCTGACCAAGTGTTTCCTGCACATTCGTGGCATGACCTGTGCCAGCTGTGTGGCCGCCATCGAGAAGCATTGCAAAAAGATCTATGGCCTGGATAGCATACTGGTTGCCCTGCTGGCCGCCAAGGCGGAGGTCAAATACAATGCCAATGTCCTGACGGCGGAGAACATAGCCAAGTCCATCACCGAGCTGGGCTTTCCCACGGAGCTCATCGACGAGCCGGACAATGGCGAGGCGGAGGTGGAGCTGGAGATCATGGGCATGACCTGCGCCTCCTGCGTCAACAAGATCGAGAGTCATGTGCTGAAGATCAAGGGCGTGACCTCCGCCTCCGTTACACTGCTGACAAAGAGGGGTGAGTTCCAATCCTTTTTTTTCACTTATGGGAACCAAATCGGAGTAGCATTTTTATGCATTCCACAAGTGTCCCGGTTGTCCAGGATTATGGAAACATATACCATAAATCTCTCCCGTGCATTCCACAAGTGCGACAAGTGTTGCGCAATAATGCGAGCTTGAACTCCGCATAACTGACGAGCGCACCTGGAAATGGATTCAGTTATCACCCAGTGCCAACGCACCTGTTGCGGTTTATTTTGCACCCAGCAACGCCCAGCAACTGGCAAAGCTAGATGAAAAATAAAACTGCAAATTCCTCTTAATAATTCGATTTTTGTTGTATACCCTTGAAAAGGGTTTCAGTTGCTCATAATAATTCTAATTTAAGATATCTGGATTCATTTATTCCAGGCAAAGGGGAATGAATAGTCTGGAAACCCATTGGAAAGAGTACTTCCAGTTGCCCCAATTTCCTTTGTATTTAAGTGAATATGATATTCGGGAATAGTAACAGCTGAGTGGCGGAGCATCGACAATCTGAAATCGTTGCAAATTTTCTCTTTGTTGTTCGTTGACAATTGACAATTTGGCCCAGCCAATTGTTTATTGTAACTGATATACTCGCTTTACTTTATGCTCTCTCTCTCTGGAACGGGATGGTCAGGAATCTGGAATCTGGAATGGGGATGGGAATGGGGGGGGGGGCAGTCGCTGACGATAAGAAAGTATTATATATATATATATATTCACTATGCTCGGAGCAAACAATGGCGACTAGATTAAAGTGCTTTGATCCGAGTTGGTGTGCGTGTGCACTAAAGTTATCTGGAACAGGCGGCGAACTAAGTCGCAAAAGGGCAGAAGGGGAATGTGTGTGGGAGGACAGTGATTATGCATATTTGCACTTGATGGGGGAAAATAAAGGAAAAATTCCAGTCACTTCCAGACATTCTTATTAGTTTAGAAGAGAACATTAACTGGGGGGAAACAAGCTTTAAGGCTTAATGTAAAATATCTTTACGAGTTGAGAATTGGATTTTAGAATTGTTTTTTTCAGAAAGATCAAAATACGATTACAGGACAAAGAACAAAAGCCAATATGTGTGTCTTTGTTATTGAAAGTGATTAATTTACCTTTATTTACCTTTACCAACTCGCACTTAAAGCCTTGAAATTGAAAGGCCGCCTTGCCAAATCAAAACAAAACAAAAGTGAAAGAGATCGCAACTCACACCCAATATAAGACATATATATATATATATGTATATATATTCACGTTCAAATACAACAACTATGAAATTAATCTGGCTTTTGTCTGGAAAGGCTGCTCTCCACTCCAGGCCGCTCTCTTTTTTTATTTTTCTTGAGCTTTGCTGGAGGCGCTCTCCCTGCTCCGCATGCGTGACCACGAACTCCAAAATTACTTCCACTTTCTGCACTGAAAGAAATTTAAATGAATATTAAACAAGAAGCGGTTCCGAATCCTTGAATATTTTTATATGACAATTTTTTTGAAAAACTCTATGTTTAAAAAACTCATAACTAAGCCAAAAAACCATTAATTTTAATTCGGAAAACGCTGATATGTTCATTTTTAGCAGGTTAACAAAACTGCATACTCCATTTAAAATGTGATTTTTTGGCCGATTTTTGCGAATTTTCATGATGTAACCCCTTTCCTTTTTTAAAAAAATGGGAATTTATTGAAAAATTTTTTTTCGTCCGGAGATGGCTTAAAAGATTCGCCTGTTGATGCTGATCAAGAATATATATGATTTATAGGTTCGGAAAGGACTCCTTTACTTAGTTTCAAGCTTCTGAGTAAAATTCTAATACCCTGCAAGGGTTTACAAATTAAAATTAAAAAATTAAATAATATTAAATAATGTCTCAATATTTTCAAATATTTCATAATATTATATTTAAATATTATTCATTTATATTTAATAAACAAACATATAAGGAAATAATAATACATGTTCGAATAGTCATCTTTTATACTTTTCTATTATTTGAATCATATTTATTCCTCCAAATTTCTTGCTGTGCATTTCCAGTTCCATTCACCTTCACTTTGATTTAGAGTTGTGCTCTTTTTGCGACTTTTGCCTCGCATATCTCCATTTGAAATGAGTGAACGGATTATGCAATATTTAATTCGCTCAACTAATGTTTACAGATTGGCTTTAAGTTCTGGTTGAGCCAAGGAAATCAGTTTGAAATTCCATTATTTATTCACAATTTTTACCCCCCTTTAACTTCTCGTTTGAAATTGAACATTTTTGTCTGGCGTACGTGAGCCGTTTCAAATAGCAAAGAAAAATAAGAAATAAAAAATAAAAAGAGTTTCATGCATAAAGTAGAGCTTAATAATTATAACTGCAATGAAACTGGTTTCGGTTTCACGTCTGACATGGATAAGCATTCGATGGAGAAAATCGTCAGCGAAAAAAATGTCTACATAAATGGGAAACTGCTTTGGAAAACTTATATGTTAAACCTTCAATTGATTCAGTTTGCTAACCGTCTATTAGTTTTATTTAAACAAAATTCAAATAAATAAACATGCAGTTGGTGTGCTTTTATTTTTCATTACTCAGAGTGTGATATTCTTTTACCCGAATGAATGGCTAATTCCATTGCTAATCTCTCATTGCACTTGGCCATTAGCTTACACTTAAAACTAAAAAAAAATGATGTTAGTAGACTTTTGCTGAAATACTTTGTTAACTTAACAAACTAACTAATTTGTTATTTCGACTTTTTGTTGTTCATTAGCTTGTTTTGTTCTCTTGGCTACACTCCATCGGTAGTCGGAATTGGGCGTGTAAACTGTTGGGCAAAACATATGTTTCCTCAGATTCTTATCAGCCGGCGATAAGTGCCGACGACGACAACAACAGCAAACAGCAAATACGAATTGAAATTGTTCTAAATTGTAACAACGAGTCGGCCCAATAGCGATAAGCGGGGTATAGCCGGTGAGAAATGAAAAAGGAAAACTCAAAAATTGCAAAACTGATAATGAGCTGGCATGCATTCAATTAATTCCAATCCTTAAAAGATTATAATATTGAAACGAGTCATGAGAAATGATGGGGAAATATATAGACTTGAAGTTTGGTATATACATTTGAAATGCTTGGGAAATATAAAGTCTTAAAGTTGGTATATATATTTGTAGTTCATTTAATATAATTTAATCACAAATGTATGAAATATATGAAACTTTAACCGGGTATTTCATAGTCTGGAGCCCTATAAATCCACTGCTTCTCACTTTCCTTGTCTATATATTTATTTATTTAATACAGAAAATATTAAAATTGATTATTTATTCAAGTTTATATACTTCTAAGCAAAAATGAGCTTGTAATCTTCTTTTCCTTGTTTATAATAATTTTTATGTGAATGGAGAAAAGATGAATTATTTATTCAAGTTCATGAACTTCTAAGCAAAAACAAGAGCTTGTAATCAGTGTTTATCCTTGTTTATATTTATTTATTTAAAGGGAGTGAAGATTCAAATGAAGTTCAAATTATTTATTCAAGTTCATGAACTTCTAAACAAAAAAATAAGAAGCTTGTAATCATTCATTTTTATTCATCTCTGGCAGCTTGATTCATTCATTGGAATGTAAACAAGCACACGACCCACAAAATATAACAAAAACTCCCATCATTTATTAAAGATCGATCGTTGCATGAGGGAGTATCATCAATAATTAGCAAAAATTGTCATTGAAGCGATATCTGTCTGAGTATGTGATCACGGCATTATGCTTCCTAATCCTGGCCCGATTTTGCACACGACTCTGATTGTAGATAATATTGTCCACTTTGCTGACCCGCTAAGTGAACGATAAACAATGATATCATGTGTTCGTCAGGCCCTATCCTATCTCTCAGGGAACTTGTTCAATTTCCTTATATTGTAACATGTTGATCTTCATTTAGATTACTGCAAATTAATTGCAAATTAATAAAAGGAAATAATGAAAGAAAGAAAGAATGAGGGGTTTTTCCAAAGGGGATTTTCATATGCATTCAGTGAGGCATTTTCTAGGTTCTTTTTTCTGATGAGTAAGCCTCCGATGATCTGGAGAGAGAGAGATATATGAGGCATAGCTTTTTATATATGTACATATAAATAATAATAATAAAATCATATACCATATATACTTTTCTCAAGTCCGATGATTATGGGAAATATATAATTTGAAACTTCTGTCAAGCTGTCAAATATTGATTGAATATGTAAATATTCTGTATTTGATGGTTTGCTTATAAAATATATTATATACTTTCAGTATTTCTTGATTCTTATAATGTTCTATTTCAGTTAAATGTTTAATTTTACAATTTGTAAGCAAGAATATCTCTTGAAACTCATAATTCCTTCTTTTTTTATTAAATTTACTTAGCTTTGGTCTTAGTTTTTCGCCAGCACATGCATTTTGCATTTTATTTCCTGTAAATTAATATTCTAAGTCTCACTTGACTATAAATTTGATATGATAAATGCACTCGGCTTTTAAAGCTCTCATTATAATAACAAACACATGCAATTTCATCGAGTCATGCTCAGCGATTACTAGTCGTGCTTATCAGGTACGTGGGGGCCTTCCCTTGCTTTTCTATTTGAAAATCGAATAATGAAAAATGTTTCATTCGGTTCCTCTGGGTTATTGGGAAAAGCAATAACATGACAGAGACGGAGACCGAGATGAAGATGGAGACCTTTGAGAACTGATTGAAACATGAAGAACAGATGGTAGAAATATCGTTGGGTTGGGTAACATGCTAATAATCAACAAACATACACATATGTACCATAAAAGTTGAAAAGTTTAGCTATGTTATCTTATCGGGAGCGATGAACCCACTAAAGGGGTCCCCAAAAGTCTTCCAGGCATTGGAGCTCCCAAAGCTACACGGATATTTATTTAATTCCGAATGCCTGAATGCTTTAGTTTCCATGCCACATGGTTCCCTTATATATTATATTAGAGTGAACCGCAGTTGTATTTTTAGGGTTTATTATTATTAAGAAACTAGAAAGGAACCCAAGTTCTGAAACTGAAGTATATAAACCCTTGCAGTTTGCCATTGAAGTATAGGATCGTATTAAGCTTAAAATATTCACATTCTTTGAATCGATATTTTTGTTTATATTTTTTTATGACAATTTCTTAAACAAATCAAAATTTAAAAATTTCATAACTAAGCCAAAAACGCATTAATTTCAATTCGGAAAGCGGCAGTATGTTCATTTTTAGCAGGTTAACAAAACTGCATACTCAATTTAAAAAGTGAATTTTTGGCCGATTTTTGCGAATTTTCATGATGTAACCCCTTTCCTTTTTTTCCGAAAAATGGGAAATTTCTGAAAAAAATTTTTTTTCGGCCTGAGGAGGCTTAAAAGATTCGGCTGTTGATGCTGATCAAGAATATATATAGTTTATAGGGTCCGAACTTACTCCTTCATTTAGTTTTAAGCTTCTGGCCGAAACAGTAATACCCTGAAATGATCAGTTTTGAATCTATCGTAAGAGTAAGAAATCAATATTCGTGAATAATTTATAATTAAGTTAGGGTGTAAACTTTGAGTATACGTTTTCAGATATCCTAAATACAAATTGTTGTGCCACTTGAAATTAAAATTAAGTAATGGGGTCCCTGAAATTTAGGAAAATAAATAAATATCTAGACCTAGGGCTGATCCCTCCTATATCTAAAATAAATAATATAATTGTCATGGTCAATACTTACCGCATAAGAAGACACACCTTCCTGTTGAGAATCATATTCCTGATGACTTCAATTAGGCTTTCGAAATGGGCTTCTTCCTGGTTATCCAAAAGTATTGCATTGATCAGGTGATCATTTTCAGGTCAAAGGGTAATCACTATCACTATCACTATTGATGTAAACAGCAGGGAGGCCTCCCACGGAATGAGGTCAGCGGAATGGTAGGGCCTGTATTTATAGTCTCCCAGTGAAGAGAACAGAGAAGAGAGTTGGGGAGAGTTAGAGAAAGTTAGAGAGTAAGAGATGCCTCTAGAGATTCCTCTAGAGATGCACAGAGAGAGATAGATAGAGGGAGAGGAAGTGAGAGAGGGAGAGTGAGTGCGAGTGAGAGAGGGAGTGAGAGAGGGAGTGAGAGAGGAAGTGAGAGAGGAAGTGAGAGAGGGAGTGTGAGAGATAGAGAGTTAGACGCAGGAAAAGAAACCTGTCCTTTTCAAAAATACCTCTCGCATTCTTTTTATATTTATAAAATTATATTTATAAAATATTGAAATTCATTAAATAAACAAACAAGATAAGATAAAAAAACAAGATATTATTTATAAATATTACCAATATATCCTTAAGCTGGGTCACTTGTCCGCTCAAGAGAGACATATGTCCGTTAAACTTTGAGTTTAGTTTAAAACCTGCAAAAGTATCTGAATATACACCAGGTTCTGCCCAATACAATATATGTATATGAGGCTAAAACTATTACAAGTATGTACTCTAGTCTGGCCAATCGATTTTGCAAATGGAAATCATTTGAATCCGGTTTAACGCTCCAATTTCAATACCAGAACCGAACCGGCATTAGCTTGAAACCTCTAGAGCTTCCCCGTTCCGTCACTTGGTGTCTCTCCTAGAGGGGATTTTTGAAGTACACACAGACAGGAGTGGCCGTAAAAGTGATAACTTGACAGAACAACAAGATATTGTGATGAAATTATCAACAGAATTAAGATATAGTCGTTTGATGAGAACATGTCTTAACTACTTTAGGGAAATTTCCTTTCAAAGTCTCGTTTTCATAAGAAATACAAATAAATCACAAAGATTTAGAGTTAATTTCTTAAAATAATGGTTATAAATTACAAGTACTTATTTTGTTTTTGAAAGCTAGAAGATGTCTTCTTTTAAATTCGAATTTCTCTAGAAGTTATCTTTTTGCAACTGAACCCAATGTAATGTCCCAGACTGTAAACTTGTCTGTAATTGTAATTAAAACCAAGCAAAAGCAGCTTTCTCTATTTTTCTACGACTGGTTCTGCAGTAAAACAAGTCTCGTTTTAAGCTTTAAACATTGTAAAATAACTGAATTATATCAAATGAACTTCTTAAATATAACTAAAGCAGCCAAATCGAACTAAATTTAGTTAATTTTTCAATCCATAAATCATTTTAGACTCTTCTTTGCGATGTAAAAGTACAAAAATAGCTATATGAATAATAAATAAACTAAATTATGAATAAATTTCTATATAAATAATTTCAATAATTTATAATTGTTTTCTTTTTTTGTAGGAAAATTCCGATACAGCACAGAGGACACAGGACCTAGGAGCATATGTGAGGCCATCGAGGGACTTGGCTTTGAGGCCAAGCTAATGACCGGCCGGGACAAGATGGCCCACAATTATCTGGAGCACAAGGAGGAGATCCGGAAGTGGCGGAATGCCTTCCTCGTCTCCCTGATCTTCGGCGGACCCTGCATGGTGGCCATGATCTATTTCATGCTGGAGATGAACGACAAGGGACATGCGAACATGTGCTGCATTGTCCCTGGGCTGTCGATGGAGAATCTGGTGATGTTCCTGCTCTCCACACCGGTGCAATTCTTTGGCGGCTTTCACTTCTACGTGCAATCGTATCGGGCCATTAAGCATGGCACCACCAATATGGATGTCCTCATCTCGATGGTCACCACCATTTCGTATGTGTACTCCGTGGCTGTGGTAATAGCGGCGATCCTGTTGGAGCAGAATAGCTCACCGCTGACCTTCTTCGATACGCCGCCCATGCTGCTGATCTTCATTTCCCTGGGCCGCTGGCTGGAGCATATAGCCAAGGGTAAGACCTCCGAGGCCCTGTCCAAGTTGCTCTCCCTCAAGGCGGCCGACGCTCTGCTGGTGGAGATCTCCTCCGATTTTGACATCATCAGCGAGAAGGTTATATCCGTGGATTATGTACAGCGTGGTGATATCCTAAAGGTTATACCCGGCGCCAAGGTGCCCGTCGACGGGAAGGTTCTCTATGGCCACTCCACTTGCGATGAATCGCTAATAACAGGCGAATCAATGCCGGTGGCAAAGCGCAAGGGATCCGTGGTCATTGGCGGTTCGATCAATCAGAACGGTGTCCTCCTGGTGGAGGCCACGCATACGGGTGAGAACACAACGTTGGCCCAGATCGTGCGACTGGTGGAGGAGGCTCAGACGAGCAAGGCACCGATCCAGCAATTGGCGGATCGCATTGCCGGCTACTTTGTGCCCTTCGTGGTCGTCGTATCGAGCATAACGCTAATCGGTTGGATCATCATTGGGTTTGCCAATCCCAATCTGGTGCCCGTTGCCATGGAGCATAAGATGCATATGGATCAGAATACGATTATTGTTAGCTATGCCTTCAAGTGTGCTCTCAGTGTCCTGGCCATTGCCTGTCCCTGTGCTCTTGGCCTGGCCACGCCCACCGCCGTCATGGTGGCCACTGGAACGGGTGCGATCAATGGAGTGCTGGTTAAGGGTGCCACAGCGCTGGAGAATGCCCATAAGGTGAGTTGTAACATTCTGAAGTTTTCAAGGTTTGATTGAATTAATTCACCTTCTCTCCCGCCCAGGTCAAGACAGTGGTCTTCGACAAGACCGGCACCATAACACATGGCACTCCAATGACCAGCAAGGTCACCCTCTTTGTGCCCGCCCAAGTGTGTAGCCTGGCCCGGGCCCTGACCATTGTGGGAGCTGCGGAGCAGAATAGCGAGCATCCAATTGCCTCGGCCATCGTTCATTTTGCCAAGGATATGCTCAATGTGGGTGCTAATCCCCAAGGCGGTAGCTTTGGCAAGAGCAGCAATTTCCAAGCGGTTCCTGGCTGTGGCATTCGCGTCACCGTAACCAACTACGAACAGACTCTGCGGCAGGCCTGCAACGCGGAGAGGATCATCAACTATGAGAATCTGCATCGCAATCAGCCGCAACGACCGATCCCTGTGGACAATGGAGCCAGCATCGAGTACCTGTTGGCGCAGAGCAACAGCAACAGCAAATCGATGGAGCAGACGAATCAGCAACTGCTCTCCGACTTGGAACTGGAACAGGAGCAACAGCTTCTCCTCACAGAGAATAATCAGCAGCAGAAGATTATTGATGGTCCGGAGATTAAGGTGCTGATTGGCAATCGGGAGTGGATGCAACGCAATGCCATCGATGTGCCGCTGGCGATTAGCGATTGCATGGAGCATGAGGAGCGCAAGGGACACACTGCCGTGCTCTGTGCCCTCAACGGGCAGCTGGTGTGCATGTTTGCCGTCTCTGATATGGTCAAGCCGGAAGCCCATCTAGCTGTCTACACGCTCAAGCGCATGGGCATCGATGTGGTACTGCTCACTGGCGACAATAAGAACACAGCTGCTAGCATTGCACGAGAGGTGGGCATTCGAACTGTTTATGCCGAGGTGCTGCCATCGCATAAGGTCGCGAAGATCCAGAGAATTCAACAGAATGGCATACGAGTGGCCATGGTCGGTGACGGTGTCAACGATAGTCCAGCGCTGGCGCAGGCGGACGTGGGCATTACCATAGCCGCTGGCACAGATGTGGCAGCCGAGGCCTCGGACATTGTCCTCATGCGCAACGATCTGCTGGATGTGGTGGCCTGCCTGGATCTCTCCCGTTGCACGGTTCGTCGCATCCGCTACAACTTCTTCTTTGCCAGCATGTACAATCTGTTGGGCATTCCGCTGGCCAGCGGTCTCTTTGCCCCCTACGGCTTCACGTTGCTGCCGTGGATGGCATCCGTGGCAATGGCCGCCAGTTCGGTGAGCGTGGTGTGCTCCTCGCTGCTGCTGAAGATGTATCGCAAACCCACAGCGAAAACGTTGCGAACGGCAGAGTATGAGGCACAGTTGGCGGCAGAGCGTGCTGGCGGTTCGGAGTACGAACTGGATAATCTATCGCTGCATCGGGGCCTGGACGATCTGCCCGAGAAGACGGGCAGGATGGCCTTTAAGCGATCCAGCCAATCGCTCATCTCACGGATTTTCATGCATGGCAATGGAAGTGCCGGCGGTGGCGGCCTGTCTTCGGTGGATGCCAAGCACCATGAGGAGGGTCTGCTGGATCCTGAGGAGCAGTATGATGCACGCACCCAGATCATTAAGAGCCGCTATCATACCAGTGACAGGGACCTCACCGAGCTGCAGAAGCTGTAATCTAATCCCACCCAAGGACGACCACAAAATCGACACAAAATTTGCAGTGAAATTGTGAAAATTCTTTAGCGGGCATTAAATGGAATTAGAAACTATGCAGAATGAGAGAGAGAGAGATAGAGCGGGAATTATAAGTACCTTGTACATATATATGCAGGATATTCCTTACCCAAGTCTAGGTTTTCAGTGGGGTTCCCCCAATTCCACATACAAAAAGGGGAGAATTTTGGGGATATTTTTGGATGTACTTTCAGTATGTATATATTGCTCAAAGACCAGAAATTAATTTATATATATATTTTATTTTAACCTGCTGAGAGATTTCTATCCAAAAATATCCCTTACTTTCCTCTGGTATTTAATTGAGGGATTGATCGGACTTGATATTGTTTAGGGAAAAAGGGAAATATAACCCTGGCAAGTTTTCTATTTTTCTACAAACCCCGCATCCGCATAAGCATCCTTACCCGTCCCCTTAAATATTGTTATTTCTATCCTTACTTTTTTGTATGAGAAACTTTAAATCTGTATAAGTTACTGTTTTTTTTTCCTTTTGTCATTATTATTATTATTCATTATTTTTTCCTTTTTTTTTTGTGTTTTCATTGTAAGCTAAATACTATTATTAAGTTTAACTGAACAAAGGCACAAGGCGACATCAACCCAGAAACATCATTGACCTATTGTTACTTATTGTTAATAATAAAAAACAAAAAAAGAAACAAAGAATAAATAAAAAAGACGAAAATCGAACAACATCCGAGAGAGACATCCTTGACCCCATATCGGCCTTAAAAACAAAACACTTGTAAGACAATTTCGGGCACAAGTCTAGCAAAAAATATAAAAAATATAAAAAATAAAAAACCCTACATACCACAACGACAAACATTCTTTATATGTAACTTTAATTTTTATATACAACAAAAAAGAGATGAAAGAAAAACGCAAATGCGTTGTAATTGTAAATATAAAATAAAACGACAGAAGATATGCTGAGAGGAGAGAAAAATCCCCATACTGGCAGTCAAATGACATAGTTAATTAATTATTATTTAATTTACATGAAACAACAGCTCGTAAAAATACCTATGATCAGTAATTACCTATGAACAGTAAGTATCTCTGAACAGCAATTAACTATGATCAGTAATTAACTCTGAACAGTAAGTATCTATGACCAGTAAGTAACTCTGATCAGTAAGTATCAATGAGCATTAAGTAACTATGATCAGTAATTAACTATGATCAGTAAGTTTCTATGAACATTAAGTTACTCTAAACACTAAGTATCTATAACCAGCAATTAATTATTAGCAGTAAGTATCTATGACCAGTAATTATTTCTGATCAGTTACTAACATTGAACACTAGTAAACAATGACTTGCAACTTTTTAAACACAACACATATCTGAGACGTGGCCGGTAGCAGTCGCTTCATTCCGGGGATGTTAGAACCAGTTGGGAATCATATGCACAGAAGTGCAAGATTTGTTTTGGAACAAATTTAAGTACATTTAAATGAAACTATGGAGATATTCTTCTATATAATTTTACTAGTATATAAATCGGACAATGGCGAATCGGTGGACTATATATATACATATGTATATATAGCTGCAATAGGAACGATGGGAAAATTTTAAGAAAAAATATTATCACTTTTCCAGTTTTGAACAGATTTTCATCAAATTGAATATATACCCATTATTTATTAATCTAGAATTTTGTGTAAAGTTTTATGAAAATCGGACTACTATATCATATAGCTGTCATACAAACGATCGTTAAAAATAGAGAAAAATGCAAAATGGTGAATGATATAAAAGCAGGCATTACTTTATTGTTTTTTAATATATATATATATAATCTATATTGTATTAATTCCTAGTGACCGAATTTCAATCTGCAAGGGTATACAGACGTCGGCGTGCCGAAGTTAGCTTCCTTTCTTGTTTTATATAATTTTTCGACAATTCAAAGTTTAAAAAACTAATAAAAAAGGATTAATTTCGATTCGGAAAGCGGTCCTAGGTTAGTTTTTATTAGGATAAAATAATAATTTTTAAAAAATTCAAATTTTTTGTTATAAATTTGTGAAAAATTAAACAAAGTAAAATTATTGAAAATTTTTGAAAAAAAAAAATATTCGGTCGGAGATAGCTAAAAAGATTCGCCTGTTGATGCTGATCAAGAATATATATGATTTATAGGGTCGGAAATGACTCCTTCACTGCGTTGCAAGCTTCGGAATGAAATGATAATACCAATATTATCTATTCTTATTTTTTAGAAACAACATTTTTCAAATCACATCATCCCTGACTCCAAACTGTCAAGTTTATCATCTACCTTAGCTCGACAAGCCCCAACAGAGCTCAGTTCTATCAAACACATCGTGTCGGCAACATCTAAAAAAAAATACAAAAATATCCAGCCCAAAAAAAATTGAAAATTTTCTGAAAAATATAAAAAAAAATTTTTTTAAATCTTGAAAATATTTTTGTTTCAAATTTTCGATCAACAAATTTTCTAAACTCTTCCAAGTTCCTTTTTTGGTGCCTTAACTTCAAATTAGATTAAGTTTAGATTTAAGTTGTTTTATATTTAGGATTAAGCATAAAGTTGATCAATGCGCGATGTACACATTTACATACAGGTAAGTGGTCTTAAAAAAAGAAATAATCCTTAAGAACCTATTAAAATAATTCGGTACACAGGACAAATACATATATTTTATGGCCGTAATGGGGATTTATAAACAAATGGGGAGAAATCGAAGTCGGTGAGGGTTGGAAGGGTGGAAGGATGCAAGCAGCCAGAGAAATGACATGACAAGGTACATACCAAGTACTGATATCCACAGACAGACGAAATCGAAATTCATCCGGGAAGGCACCAAGTCACTTCCGAAAGATCCCAATGCAAGTATCTTTTATTAAGGAATTTAAGAAGATAATCCTAATTCTTGAATCCATCTTCAAACAGAAGCAACCACCATGCCCATCTGGCTGTTCCAGCTGGAGGAGGGACAGCCGGAGTGGCCCGAGATCCTGATTGGCGCTTTCCTTTAACCTTTGGCATTACAAAAATACACCTAACCAACAAAAAATCCTGGTTTTCTAATTGTTTTGGGTACCTGGTTTGGTATAGGAAAGAAAATACATCGTTAGGGATTTGCATTTCAGAGTTTACTGGGATCTGTGGAAATGGAACCTTTTTCCTAGTTCCCTATTATTCCTATGATAGCTATATGATCTGGATCTGGAATGTTACATTTTTATTGCGTTGCAAACTTCTGACTAAAAGTAAGTCCCTATATAAAATCAAGTTTTTCCAGTCATTCATTTAATATATTAACAAAACATTTGAATCAAAAATAATGCTTTAAATACTTCCAATTTTGATTTTTATTTGTGTAGTAAATCAGTACGAAAGACAATTACATACAAACATACCGAGTTTGAGACTCTGGGCTTGCAGAGCAAAATGCATTTCATTGTCAATTGCCGCAAAAAAAAAAACGAAAAAAAACTTAAAACATTCCCGGACTTTAGATGAGTAGACGCCAACTTGGTCAGCTAACCCGCTTTTGTGGTATTCCTTTACGCAGAAATTTGGTGGAATTAAAATCATCTAGCTTTGGCTAATTGAACGGAACGTCGTGGGGTCGTTTATATGTATATGCAGAGCTTGGATGAAGTTCACGCACTGCCCAGGGCATCCTCGATGCGAGCGATACGCGCTTGGTCGTCCTCCTCCTCTGCCAGTTGACTCTTACGCTTGGGATACACTTCCAGGCTCTTTTTGAACTCATTAATATCCATTATGGCATCTGGCTGATCGACAACATTGGGCAGGAAAACAATATTCAACTTGTTCTGTAGGGCAGCAAACAAAGCTTCCTCATCATCATCATCATCGTCGTCGTCGTCGTCATCCCCTTCCCCATCTTCGTCCTCGTCCTCGTCCATGTCATCGGCTTGGTCTGCTGCATTGTCACCTCCACTGCCCTTGGCCTCGCAGGCTGCCTTATTCACATAGTCATCATCATCAGCATTGCAGGCCAGGTGGGAGCCTGGCAGTGGTTCCGGCATGTCCGCCGGTCGATGTCCAATCACCTGGACAGACAGCTTACGCAAATTGTTGGTATCCGCTTCCAGGAGGAAATTAATGATCTCGGATTTCTGCAGCGTACGCAATACCTCGACCTGACGGCGACGCCGATCGAAGAGATAATCCTCGTTGATGATCTCGTCCCAGTTGCGAGCCACTTCAGTGCTCAATGCCATATCGGCGACAAGCTTCAGCTTAATCAGCGAATCCCTGGTATGATCGTAGTCTTCCTGTGGCATTTGGCGTAATATTTGCAACATTTTCGTGCGGAACGCCTCAATGCGACTCTCGGCATAATGGGCCGTCGTTTTAGTCTCCTGCGAGTTAACCATAATGGAATATCCCGCAATGCCGTAGTTAATGCGCACTGTGGCACCCACATGGTAGCCCAACTGCTCCTTGGTACGCAATTGATCGAACAAAGGTTCGTCGACGAACATCATCATCAGATCGAGAATGCTCTCCACGCGCACCGTATTCGGACCGATCTGATAGAAGTTTGTGATCACTGTGTTCGTATCCTGTTCGTTGAGGGCATGGCAACGGATAACATTGGTGCCCAGCGGTAATTGCACGGTTCGATCCTCCACAAAGCGTCGCTCCTTGATTGCCTGACAATTGAAGCGACTCAGCACCGTATTGAGGACATTGTGTGCCGATTCCTCGGTGTAATTGCCTTGAATAAGAGCCTGGATGTACAGCTCCTTGGGGAACTGGCGGGCAAAGTCGCGCAACTCCTCTAGGGTGATCTCATTGAGGCACTTGTACTTGTCAATCATTAGCCAGCGGATCTGTTCCAGCACACAAAGGCGAACGTCCCTGAAAGAAAACAACAACTTATAGTTAAAACTGAAAGCAATAGAGATGGCAAGAGAGAGTGGAAGCGGGAGAGGAACTTTACCTATTCAAGTGCTTCGGCTTGATCAATGTGTTGAAGTAAATCTTGCGCTGATTAGTCCTGAAAGCGTCAAGCATTTTCTCATCCAGGGTATCGGCCACATGGAGCATACCATCGGCTATGGCTTCTACGATCAGGTGCAGCTTCTCATTGTAGCCGCTTACCTTCAGCAGCAAACCCTTCTCAATGGCATAGAAGCTGTAGTTGAGACCGGCACTCAGAGCCGGATAAAGTTCCTCGCACACATGGAACTTGACCAACTCCTGGTAAAGGGTGCACATGGCGTCGCTAAAAGATAAAGCAAAAAGATAAGAAACGCTAAAGGACTAGGTTTAGGCACACTCACTTCTTGGCGCTCTGTCGCTGCAAGGGTGAGATAAAGTAGAAGGCCATGTGGGCCTCTGGGAGCTCGAATTTGTCATCCTGACGGAACCACAGCTCGCTGGTGTCTGTCTTCAGTAGCTTCTTGGGTGCCGCAGGCAATTCCGGTTTGCCAAATGAGCTCCAGAACAGAGTAAAATCATTCGTAACGAAACGATTTGGTTCGGGTAAAAATAATTCCTCCAACGGCTTCGAATCATCCCAAAGCTTACGCCACTTATCCGGCATTGGCATGGTCGCGTATTCAGTGCCAAACCACTGCTCCTGCTTGTCATAGGCTGCCACGCCCTCGTACTTGTCGCGCGATGTGACCATCAGATTGAATTTGAACTCATTGAGATGGCTTATCAGTTCGGTGAGATGCTGCTCATTGTACTCATAGTAGAGCTCCTTGCCAGTGAGAATATCCTTGGGCGGAAAGTATTTCGTGTTGAAAACCAAATCCTGTACATTATCAAACGCTGGACGCTGAGCCTGGAACCGGAAGCCGGTCTCCTCGATGCGCTGCTGCTCCTCATACACGGCCTTCATGGAGCCACAATTCGAGAATAGCTTTACGTAGGCAAAGGTGGCTGCTAGAACGTCATCCAGATGACGGAAACCCTCCTCTGTGAGATAAATGCAAACGTTGAACAGAGCAAACATGGAGTTCTTGTCAAAGCCATTCTCATCAATGCCGGCAATCAGATGCAGGGCCCATAGGCGTCGCCGCAGATAGGCGCACAGGCTGCCACGCCCCTCGTAGCCAAGGAGATAGGAGAGAAACTGATCCGGCTTGCTGCGATAATACTGCTGGACCTCCGGCAGCACCCACGTCAGCTCCAGCTTGCACTCATTCTCCACCGGCTTGACGAAATACACCTGCTCGTGGAACTCGGGCTTGAAGGCATTGCGGTAGTCAAATTTGCTTAGATCTGGAGCCCGGATATCGTTGTGCGGTATCTCGGCAAAGTGGCGAACTACCATTGACTCCAGCTCCTCGATGGGCAGGCGTGCCTGCATGCACACATACATTCGATTAGCACCGTAATGCTCTCGCCGGATTTCGTGGAGCAGCTTATGGAGCTCCCCATCGTCAACGTTCTCCCTCAGCGATTTCATGTTGCCCCAGGCAAAGGTGCCGTGGGGAAAGCCCTCAGTGGCTAGGCTGGCCAACAGTTGGTCTCGCCTCGTCTCATCGTCTTGCTGTATTTGCTGGAACTCCGAATCGACGGCGCTGCGTTCGCGCTGCATGGCCTCCTGCTTCATCAGTGGAGCTTTCATCAAAGCCGTAAAATAGTCCAAGCTAGAGTCAAGATGCTTCTCGGCCACCTCGAAGTAGAAGACAGTGTCCTCGCAATCGGTGCTGGCATTACTGAAACCGCCGCATTTCTTGATATGCGCATCGAAGATATTCTCCTCGGGATACTTCTCAGAGCCCATGAAGATCATGTGCTCCAGGAAGTGTGCCAGTCCCTGGTATTTGCTTGGCTCCGCAAACGAGCCATAGTCGATCATCAGAGCGCAAGCGGCCAGCTTCTCGTGGCCCTCCTCGCTCTCAGAGTCCGAGCTGCCGGCACTGTTCGTGGAACTCGATGACGAGGTGCTCGATTCGCTGCTGCTTGCATTCGAACTTGAGGTGGATTCCTCCGTTGACGATTCAGAGCTGGTGAAGCCATCGTGCGGCATCGGGCTGGGATCGGAGATGATTAAAGCGTGCAGGCCATTGGCCAAACGCAGAGTCCTATTATATTGAGGGGGAGAAAATTGACCATTAACCTGATTTTCCAGCAATCAGTTGCAGTTCGTATTCACTCACTTGTAGACCTTCTTGTCTGTCTCCGACTTGTCGGGTATATCCAAATAGGTGACCTGTTCCGTCGTCATCGTGCGGCCGCTGCGAGTCTTGATTGTGCGAATGCTATGGAATTCTGTTATGCAGCCGTTACGGCGTTGAATTGTTGGGAATTTAGAGCTTGTCGCTGCGAACAATTGCCTGACAAGGTGTGTGCTGTGACGCTGCCAGCTCATGCGGTAAATGAACTGGAAAACGGACAGCCTACTCGGAACCGGGGGAATCGCTGGCGTCTCGCCTAGTCTCGTCTCGTGGATGCAGTTGGTGTGGCCAGATCACGGGTCTTTGCAGGTGTGTGATTTAACACCACACAAAAATACTATTGTGATGTGAAAAAAAATACTATAATGGTTTGAAAATGAAAAAACCTCTTATATTTTCAAAGTGCACCAGTTTTTAAGCTCAATTTTGTGGCTATTTCTTTTATTTCAGTTCACTAGAATCTAAATCGAGTCACAAAACCCCGAAAAAATACCAGCTGAAAATGTCGCAATTCCAACTATTAACCGTATTTTTATGATAAACTCCCAACGGTCACACTGCCGAGTTCACTGTCATACGCGCGTGTGTGTGTGCGTGCGTATTAGTGGCATATGAATTCTGAGGCAACCGAAAATAAATAAATAAATGACCATTACGACCTAATCGACGGTGTGCGCAGCCAGATGATGCAGTTGGATGGTGAGCCAGCGAGCACATATAGAGAAGTGACCGCCACATAGCGCAGCCACCGGCAGCAGGAATAATAAAAACAAGAACAGCAGCAGCAGCGATCATTCGCTCGCACACACACACACACCGCCCGCCCGCAGAGCCGCACACAAAACACACACACACACACACAGAGGCGAAGGTAATCCGAACGAACGGTGAGTTCCACTGATAAACTTATCATTTGCAACGCAACGATAATTCTAATTTGGTTTTTGTTACCATTAACCATTTTGATGGCCAACCCCGCATACCCTTGGTTATGCTATTGTTCCCTTTTGTGCAATTTTAATCACTCACCTCGACTACCTTCTTTGTTTTTTATTCCATCTTTATTTGTTTTGATAGACGGCCCCCATAACGGTACCACACAGTGGCAGACAGAGAGTGAGCGAGCGAGAGAGAGAGAGAGAGAGTGAGCAGAGACAGGAAGTAACGAATAATTGAATATTCCAACGACGTACAGCAGCGTTCACGAGAATAGGAATCACCAGAGAATATGGCAACGGGCGGCAGCGGCGCCGGCGGTGGGGCCGGGGGAGCCGGAAATGATCACTATAAGCGCAACACCTTCACCAGCTATGTGGCACCGCTGCCAGGCGATATGCGCGCCACAGCCGATACGAATGAATGGTGCCTGCCCAGCGATCTGCGCGATGTCCATTTGGCCCGTCCGCGTCTGTTGCAGGGCGAGCAGATAGTGGCCACGGCACCGGCCTACATGTACTCGCCCATCGATCCCATGGACAATGCCACCAGCAGCGGCAGCGGCAGCAGCAACACCGCCGGCGGCGGCGGCGGTGGCGGTAGCATCAGTCACAATAGCCACAGCAATGGGAATGGTATGTCCTCCTCCGTGAATGATGGTGGCTCCCACAAGGAGGCCACCTTTGGCCTACTGAGCGTGACCAACTTTAAGCTGGCCTTTGTTCCGCTCCATGCCAGCAAGCGTAATCTCGAAGCCGGTGCCGCCACAGCTCCACTTTGTGATCTATATCAGGAGAATACCTATTTGGGACGCAACGAAATCACACTGAATAACATCGATCAGATCTATACCATTGCGGAGCTTGGACGGGCGGCCAGTGCGCTGCAGGCGGCGCGCATGGCCAGTCACGTGAGCAGGCGCAAGAAACTGGAGCCCTTTAAGCAGCACAACATAAGCGGCAGGATTGCCGCTCTGCATATTGTGTGCAAGAACTTTCGGCTGCTGAAGTTCGCCTTCCAGCAGCAGGATTCGAAACTGAGCGGTGCCAGTGATCATGGCAAGCTAATAGCCTCTGCTCTCGTCCGTTTCGGCTATCCAATGCGGCATGATTTGAGCTTTGCGTATGCCTATCGCGAACCATACTATTCCACGCTGGGACCCGCCTCCGGGACGTGCATGTATGCGAGCAAAAATGATTGGGCCCGCGAGCTGATACGCTGCGGTGCCAGCGAATGGCAGGTGGTGAGCAGTGCCAGTGTCCCGCTGCTACAGAATCCTCTCCATGCGGGCAAATATACGGTGCCGCCGCATTTTGTTATACCGAAGAGCTGTACTGTGGATCGATTCCTGGACTTGTCGCGTGCCTTTTGCGATTCACGTGCTGGCTTCTGGGTGTACAGCTATGGGGCCAGTGCCGCCTCCTTGGTGCGATTGGCCGAACTGCAGCCGGCGGCGCAGCAGGACACGAAGCTGGAGAATGTGATGCTGGAGCTGGTGCGAAAGTGTGATGAGCGGCGACAATTGAAGTTGCTACAGCTAACGGACCGATTGCCCAGCATTCTGGATGTGCGGCGATCCTATCAGAAGCTGAGACGTCTCTGCACACCCGAAACGCCGGAGAAGTTTATGCTGCAGGATGACAAGTACCTGGGATTAATCGAGAAGACCAATTGGCTGTTCTATGTGTCACTGTGCCTGCGGTATTCCAGCGAAGCGGCTGCCACCTTGCGCTCGGGCGTCACCTGTGTCCTCCAGGAGTCCAATGGCCGGGATCTGTGCTGTGCTATTAGCAGTCTGACGCAGCTGCTGCTCGATCCTCACTTCCGGACAATCGATGGCTTCCAGTCGCTGGTGCAAAAGGAATGGGTGGCCCTCGAGCATCCCTTTCAGCGTCGCCTGGGACATGTTTATCCGGCGCAGGGCTCCGGTAGCGGTGGCAGCGGCGGCGGTAGCAATGGCAGCGAACTGCTGGATAGTGAACAGAGCCCGGTGTTCCTGCTCTTCCTCGACTGCGTCTGGCAGCTGCTGCAGCAATTTCCCGATGAGTTTGAGTTCACGCAGACGTACCTCACCTCGCTGTGGGATGCCTGTTTCATGCCCATCTTTGATACCTTTCAGTTCGATACGCAGGCGCAACGTTCGAAGGCAGTGATGGATTCGCAACTGGTTCTCCGTCCGGTTTGGGACTGGGGCGAGCAGTTCTCCGACAAGGATAAGATGTTCTTTAGCAATCCGTTGTACCAGCGCCAGAAGGGCGACCTGGGCACCCAGTCATCGGCAGCAGGAGCTGCAGCTCATCGTCGATCCCTGGCCGTGGGCAATAGAGGTGGAACTGGCGGTGGAATTGGAGCAGTACCAGGATCGACGCCTTCGAGGAACACCATTAATCCGCAGCTATTTGCAACGGTGTCGTCGGTGCCGCAAGATCGCTTCCTGCAGCCGGCCCATCGCATCTGCGATCTGTCCGTCTGGGATCAGTGCTACTATCGATGGCTACCTGTCCTCGATATACGTGGCGGTGGCCAGCCACAGGTTGACCTCTTCCACCGCCTGCTGTTGAGCAACATAGCCAAGGTGCAGCGCTGCCTGGAGATCCAGAGTTTCGAGGAGCTACCCGATGCGTATTTCGAGGCCACCGGTGAGTCACGATCCAGTCTTCACAAGGAGGAGCTAGCGGAGAAGGTGGAGGATGAGGCGGAGTATGTGGATGGTGTGGAGAGGCGTCGCAAGACAACGACCAAGGCGGGCACACCGACCAATGGCTTTAGCCCGGTAAGCGGGAACCTGCAGCTATCCAGTCTGTCTTCCTTCTTCCCCTTTGGCAGTCCCATTGCCGGCGATGCGCCGCATCAGTTGTACGACATCCTTAATAGCAGCAGCGAGCTGCTACAGGACACCACCTCCATACTGGACAAGTCCTCCATTTTGTGATCCGATCGCTCCACTCGTTCCACTCCTGTTCACATTTAACGCTGAACTTTCGAAGTATTAAACAAAAGGCAAAAAAATAACATTTTGAAAAAAAAAAACCATAAAGCAAAACACTATAAGCCGGGGGGGAGGAGGACAATACAACCTTTTCACGTACATGGCATATCGCTTTTAACACTTTTGATTATTATTGTTAACTAATAAGCAAGTTAGCGTATAAGTTTTTTTTTATTTCGTTCGTACTACCAACACTATTTTGCACTAAAAACACCACACCATCAGCCTAAAACAGAAAACGACAAGCAATTAAACAAAAACTAAACAAAAAACAATAGAAAAAAAATAAACAGAAACGGAAACGGAAACAAAAATCAAAACGAAAAAATAAACACCAACTAAATCAATATGTATTATATTGTATGTAACTAAATTTATGTGAAATATATCATTATGTATATTTAAAATAAATAAAACAAAAATGTAAATCAACATTTAAAGGGGTTTAGTTTTATAAATAATGGAGTTTTCTGCATTTAATTAATTAAAATAAAATTTTTGAAAATAAACTTTAAAGAAAGCTTTGACCACCAAAGGGTTAACTGTATCAATCAGCTGAAAGCTTGCTATTATCGATAGGCAACAGGCTGAGCTTTTGGCAGTTATATTTTCACATGCATTAACATTTTGTTAAATATTTAGATTTATTTATTTTTTTGCAATGCTAAAATCAATCATTTATTGAAAACCGAGCACGAGCCAAGTTTATTGACGAAATGTCCAAGGATTTGTTGCCACAGCATGATGATGGAAGAGGATTCTAATAATAAACCTCCAGAACAGGGAAAAGATCAGCAGGAGGAAGCAATAAATGAAGCCAAGGCAGAAGCAGAGACGCTACATAAAGAGCTTCTACCATCTTCTGAGGAGCACCAGCTCCTTGAGCCTTCAAGTGGACAAAAGGCTTCCCAGTCTCAATCTCAACCGCCCATGCCCTCAGATGATATGATGCGACACTCCATAGCCGACAGCCTCATGGAGATGCTGGTAAATATGACCAATTCCCAGTACCTCCACGAATGCCTGGAGCTCTTGGAGGCAAGCGATCCCATGCAGGCACGCAACCAAATCCTGAATATACTGCAGCGAATCGACGGGGAGCATTTCACTTAGCAGTTCCATCACATATACATTATGAGTTAAACATTTAATAATAAAAACGTTGCGTCGCTAACATTTAAGGTCTCTTAAGGGGTTTGAATCTTTGGGGAGCCCTACTCCTTGGGCTTGGCCTCTTCCGTCTTTAGCAGCTCGGAGACAATGCCCACCTTCTTGAGCTCCTCTATGAGGTCGCCGCTCTGGTGCATCTGCAGCAGGATATCACAGCCGCCGACAAATTCGCCGTCGATGAAGACCTGTGGAATGGTGGGCCAGTCGGTGTAGTCCTTAACGCCTGTCACAGAAAGCATACATATATAATTAATTGAAATGATATATATCTATAGTAAACGTACCCTGTCGCAGTGCCTCGTTCTGGAGCACGTCGTGGGCATCGTACTGGACACCATGCATTCGCAGAATTTGCACAACTGCATTGCTAAAGCCGCAGCGCGGTGCCTGTGGGTTGCCCTTCATGAAGATGACCACCTTGTTGGTGCGCACCAGCTTGTCCAGCGTCGCCTTGTCCACGGCAGCGGCGGCGGCGGCGGCGGCATTGTTGTCAGTCGCATCCGCGGCATAGAAGCGTCTGAGGATGAGCGGTGTGGTGTTGGAGGAAGCAGCAGTGGGCACGGCGGCGGCACGCACTCCTCCGGACAACTGGGACTGGGCCACTCCAACGGCGGAGCGTACAAAGCTTTGACGCAACAGAGTCTGGCAAATTCGGTTCATTTTCACACCGGTCGTCGATCGTTCCTCCTCGTTTAATTATCTAATTTAATGTTGTTGTTGCTGTTGTTAGAGCCAAGTGGTCAGGTGCCGTCTATCGATAGCTTGACATATGCAATAGTTATCGGGCAATCGGTAAATTTGTGAGGAATTGTTTGAATTTTCAAAAATTAAGTTTTATTTTGTTTAGAGGACTCAAAAAAAAGCTTTTTAAATGACAGAAAAATCATTATTTCTTGTATTTTATGTTGAAATAATTTATTTATTAATATAAAGCTACCAAACATGTAAAAAATGAAAAGAAAAGTTAACGTTGGCGAAAATGTTTTAAAATTAAGTTCTATTTATAATTTTTAATATATTTAATAGACTTTTTTTAGGGGCTTTATTTTATATAAATTAAAAGGTATATTTAGCGTATATAGAATACCATTTGATTAATTTTACAATTAGTTTTCCGTCTTAAAAAACATAGCTATAGTTACAGTATTTATAACAATTTATAAGATCTAGATTTTAGAACTAGTGTAGCGTCGTATAGGATCTTTGGAGCTCTCCTGGATTACTGGCCTGTGGCTGGGCCTGTGACGTGGTGGCCTCTGTTCGAGATGTTCCCGCAGTAGGACCTATCATGTTCTCCATCCGTTGGCTAGTTTCACGCATAACACCACCGAAATCGGGCAGTTCCGGCAGGTCCAAGGCAAGATGGGCAGAGAAACGCTTGTAAACCGATGATTTGGTGCTCTCCTTCTTCACTTTCTTGCGATTTTCCTCGTATTTTAATTGTTGCTTCAGGAAAATCGATGCCTTTATCATTTCCTGTATGTTGTCGAAGACACTCTCCGACTTTTCAATGGTGCGCAGGGCTCTAAGGGACAAGAAAGACACTGAATAGTAAAGATATTAAAGCTTTTAAATTAACTACTTACTGAATTCCGTATTCCATGTCGTAGCAGTGCCCCTGGAGATTGTTCTGCAGCTGGAACACCTCATCGCGCTTCTCGAATATCGCCGGGGAAACCTTGCGCACATGTTCCTGGACACGGAAAAAGGCCAACGATGGATCATTTGCGAAAATATGTATGTTTTCGGAGATCTTTTCGGAGGTTTTCTTAGTTTTAAAGACCAATTCTCCGCCCCGAGACATTTTTCTCTTCTTTGTTTACATCAGTGTTCCAACTTATCGATAGATAGAATGGAATTTCAGTTTTGGTATTTTATTTAACCAAATCGTTATCGATTTGCTGGTATTTTGGACTTTTTAGTATTATTTATACACCCTCTTCCAAATAGGCCGCAGCATACCTGCGGTATTTCTGGCAACACCCAATACGGTCATACTGAAGTAAGCTTAACTGGCAACACTGGCTGTGGGCGAGTTTCTGGTGCGGTAAATTTCGGCAAAATTTGCGTTTTAATTAAAATACAAGGATTAATCAAGCGAAAATCAATTAAAAGTAGTGCGCGTTCAAATCGCCTCTTTATGTACCATATTTTAGTGTGCTTATTTTGTTTCTGTGCGCTGTGAGTGATGAAAAACGAAACAACAAACTGTTAGCTGCAGCCTGTGGATGCTGCTCGCGGAGATTTTTCCGGCGCGGTTCTTTATATATATATGTGTGTGTTTTTTTTACTGTTTTTTTTTTCTGTGCTATCCAATGCCGGTGGTCAGTGGAGCGTTGCAAGAGGGACATCGTTGTGATCGTTTTAAATAAAAAAAAGACGTTAAATAGTTAAACAATAAGGCAACTTCCAATTGGTACAGCAACAACAAAGCGGCAATAACAAACTTTGTTTACCTCAAACTTCGGCGGCAACCCCAATCAGAGGAACACCGAAATAGAATCTCAGTTCCAGTCCCCAGCTAAGGGTTAATTTCGAGAGTGCGTGTGTGTATGCGTGTGCATGTGCGTGTGCGTGTTTGCATTTCTTACGGTTTTTTGTTTTTACTGTTGTTCTTGTTGTTACCTTTGCGCGATTTTCGCTCGATGAACGAAAGGCAAAGTGATGAGCTCATTGATAAGACAGCAGCAGGAGCATTCTTGTTTCACTCGCTGTCTCTCTGTCTCTCTCCCTCTCTCTCTCATTTACTCCATACGCACACCCTCTACGCTCTTCTTCTCTATTTCGGCCCTGCCGCTTACGTCATCCCGCCCCACCCCTAGCCATCATGCTCTACATACTTCTCGCAATTTATTTTTGCTTTATATTCTTGTTTGTTCTTATTTGAACTTTGATAAAAATAAAGGCAGGCAGAGAAAAGAGTTAGCGTTCGCTTGCACTGCAATCAAAGTAATAAAAGGGAATCACGAGCCAAGTTTACATTTGTCAAGTGGCTTTATAATTCTTTATGATTGTATTTCTGCTTTTTCGAGTTGGCCTCTCGAGTGTCCAATAATTCTATGCGCCCACATTCCTTATTCGATCGGTTTTAATATACTTAAGTACATACGCACGTATGTACAGCTACACGGAGAGAAAAATATTGTTGTTAAAATAGTTTTCCATTAAATTTGGGGAAAATACTAAAAGTTTTAATTTAGTTAAAAGAGTTATTTAAAATCATATGAACAAAATTAATTTCAATTTAATTATTTTATGCATTTCAAGCTTTAATTGATATAAATAAAGATCTACAGAATTTTTAACATGCTTAAAATAACCCAAAAATATTAAACTTAAAATATAATACTTGTGAAATTAATTTTAAAATTATATATAATTAGCCTCCGAAAACTTAAAAGCCTCAAAAAGTAGGCAATATAATATTTAAAATCCTAATTCGATATTGTCCTGTATTTTTTTGTTAGCATACTTTTCCGACACCCTTTTTAAAGGATTTCCAATCAGACTTTAATGTGAATACTATCAAAAATTTCCCTCAGTGCATTAGAATATATGGCATGTTTATATGATTCAACTTATATGCAGAACAAGTTGCCGCCGTTGTTGTTATTTATATTTAATTGCTGTTGTTGTTGTTGTTGCTGCTGTTCCCTAGAGACCGCAAAGAGCTTTGAATAAAAAGCGATATTAAAACAAACAAAAAAAATACAAAACGAATGAAAAAAGAAACACCAATAACAGAAATAAAGCGCGCGTGTTTGATGCTAATCATAAAAAATAAATTCATAGCATACTCTCGGGCAGAACTCGAAATATTGAGGCCACAGCCCATTAAAAGCTTCTGTCTATTCAATTTGCTGAGACAGAGAGAGAAAATAGAATAACTTAACAAACTTTAAGAAATTAAATTAAATAATTAAATGCCATTTTTAATAATTACTTTTTATTGTTTATCTATTTTTCTATATTCCCTTTCTAAACTCTATTAAAATTCGAGCCAAGAATCTCTTGAATAATTATTAAATATTTTTCTGTGGCCTTAACATTTCCAGCCTGAAATCGATAATAATAATAATTGAATAGCTTGAATTATTTTTTACCGTGTGCTAATTAAAATATCCCCCGTGTGTGCGCGCTTTCTGTTTGTTTTTCTGCTGCAGAACTTTTTCCAGCTAAGCTTTTGGCCAAATTAAAAAGGAAAAGGAGTAACCCGAAATATAACGAAATAAATAAATAAAATAAAGGAAGCAGCAGGAGCTGAGAACCTCAACCATGGGCAACATTCACACGACCGGTCCCAATGAGGCGTTAATTGTTTCAGGTGAGCATTTTGTCAAAAGGGTTACATTTTCATCATTTACGTAGGCTTACGTTTTTCCCCCACTTCCCCTCCCTCTCTTACCCTTTTTGTTGTTGTTGTTGGAAACGCCTGTTGACTGATTTTGAAATGGTGCAATTAGGCAACCGCATTGTTGACAGGACATTGCGAATTCAGCCAGGGTTGGCGACATTTCCCTGACTTCCCTTTGATCTGTGATTGCTAAGCATTCAGCACTGAAAGAAATAATATATATCAAGGAATAAATCTCTCACTTAAATACAATATATATATATATATATTGCACTCTAAATTTAGTAATATATTTATACTTTAAAACACATTTAAGGCAAGACCTGTATATTTTTATATATTTATTTTATTGCATATATTTTGTATTTATTTGGTTGTCTGATTGAATGGGGCAGAGTTGACTTCGCAAATTATTTATTTTTACATTTTCAAAGCCTTTGCAAAGGGTGTTAACTTGTAAGAAACAAATCTTTAAAGGTTATCAAACCTTTTTAATTCAAAAAATCATTCTTTAGAAATATTTTTGTGCTTGTATATTGACTGGAAATAATATTACCCTTCCAGGGTATTATAATTATATTCAGAAGCTTGGTACAAAGTGAAGGAGTCATTTCCGACCCTATAAAGCATATATATTCTTGATCAGCATTAACAGGCGAATCGATCTAGATGTGTTTGGGATACTAACAAAATTTTGAAAATTTTTCGAAAATTTTATAAGGGGTTACAACGTTAAAATTAAAAAAAATTGATAAAAATTGTAAAATTTAAAAGTTTTTAACTGAGTTTGCAGATTTATCTACCTAATAAAAACTAACATAGGACTGCATTCCGAATTGAAATTAATGCGTTTTTGGCTTAGTTATAAGATTTTTAAATTTTGATTTGTCAAAAACTTTCCTATAAAAATATAGTTAATATCCATTAAAAAATGGTAATGGGCCTTCAGTCAGAAGCTCAAAAGAAGGTGAAGGAGTCATTTCCGACCCTATAAATCATATATATTTTTGATCAGCATTAACAGGGGAATCTTTTTAGCTATCTCCGGAAAAACAAATTTTTCAAAAATTTTTTTTTTTTTTTACATTGATAATTTTTTTTAAAATTGATAAAAATTTATATTTTTAACATTTTTTAACTGGATATGCAGTTTTATTAACCTACTTAAAACTTATATAGAACAGCTTTCCGAATTGAAAATAATGCATTTTTTGCTAAGTTATGAGTTTTTTAAACATTAATAGGTCTTACAAATTTGCCATAGAAAAATATCGGTTCAAAGAATGCTGATATTTTAAGCTCGGGTATAATTGATTTCCGATACGATCCTTTAATTTAATTGCAAACTGGAAGGGTATATAATCTTTGATTTGCTGAACCCAGCTTCTTTTCTGTTTTTTAATTCATCTCTCACGAATTCGTTATATATAATTTTGTAGTAGTGTTCTCTATAACTTTTTTTCCTGTGTAGCCTTTGTGCTATCCATTGCGTATCCCTGGGGCCGACACTGAATGACAGCTTCCTCCGGCGACACCCAGAACGCTAAACACGGAAAAAGAAAACTCCCTGATGCATATTGAATTTTCCGCAACCAAAAGTGGGGGGGAGTAGAAGAGGGGAACGCGGACAGTGATAACCACTTGTATGCACCCACCGTCGTTCTTCTTTCTCTTTTCTCCTTTCTCCAACCATCCAACCCCCAGCATCCTGGCAAACCACCCCCTGCTGATGCGTTGTCCTCTGAAGCTTGTTGCCATTTTTGCCTACGTCTCCAGTTGGGTTTTTTCCTGTGTGTGCTTTGGGCTTGTGCCTGGGCCTGGGCCAAACTTCAGTTTTCAACCCTCGCGTTGTGCGGTTGTGCGGTTGTGCGGGCATGGGTTAATGCACTCTGGCCAACCCCTAGGGGTGCCCCCAGCCCCATCCCCTAATAGCCCAACGGTCGTCACCACCAAATCCAAAACCCAAAACCCAAACTCAAGGCCTAAAACCCAGTTGTAAGCTTAAAATGCAACTTGCACGAAGTCGTTAAGGTAATTTCATTTAATTAACTCTCCAAGGCAAACAATAGAAGAGTTTTTTCACTTTTTCCGCCATTTCCCTCAAAAAGGATTTAATGAAATAATAGATTTACACGGCAAATCGATAATCCTTAAGCCTGGGAGCTTATAGGATATTAATTAATTAATATCGATAAGTTTAGTTCATTAGGGAAATCAGGGAAAAATCTACAGGGAATTTATATTTGAGCTTTGAGCATCAAGGAAATTTATGGGAATTTCGGTAATCCAAGAGCTACAAGGAAATTCACTGGGAAATTTTCAAAGGATATCAATAACTGAATGTGAATATTACCTTAGGCTAAAGGGAATTTATCGAAATGGAATTGAAAGTACCTATTATATTTATCGATAATCCCTTATCCTGGAAGCTCATAGGATATTAATTAATTAATATCGATAAGTTTAGCTCCCCAGGGAAATCAGGGAAAAATCTACAGGGAATTTAAATCTTTAAGCATCAAGGAAAATTTAGACGAATTTCTATATCGCAAGAGCTATAAGGAAATTTACTGGGAAATTTACACAGGAAATCAGGGAAAAATCTACAGGCAATTTATATTTGATCTTTGAGCATCAAGGAAATTTATGGGAATTTCGATAACCCAAAAGCTACAAGGAAATTTACTTTGATATTTACACTGGATATCGATAACTGAATATGAATTATAGCTTAGACCAAAGTGTTTATATTTATTTATGAATTGTTTTAAATTAAACGAAAAATACCCAAAAAAAAAGAAGTAATACAAACAGTCTTCAATTAAAATTGCACACTTAAAAACGAGCAATAAAAGGGGTGTTAAAATATAATATATATAAAAAGATTTAATCATGAAAGCTTTGTCACCTCGAGGCGTGTGTAATGTCTCAATAAATTCTTATTAATTAACAAAAAAAAAAGGAATGTCGAATCAAGTATTAAATTATTATTCTACTTGCTTTTTATTGACTAATTTCATTGGTTATTGGTCTGAAAATCAACTCCATTCGGATCGTATCATATCCGAAGCCTTCTCCCCAATCATAAAGGCCGCCGCATTGGTGTGGGCGGTGGGTGGCACTGGAATAATGCTAGTGTCCACCACACGAAGTCTCCTCATGCCATGAACCTTTAGCTGATGATTAACCACGCTGGTGGGATCACTTTCCGGTCCCATGCGACAGGTGCCCACCTGATGGTGCAGTGTATAGGATAACGTTCGAATCGAACATCGCCAGTAATCATCCGAGGCGAATTTATGACCCTCACAGCCCGGCGTTGGTCTCTGAAGCAATCTTGCCCCGATCCTTTGCAGCGCTGGCATCTCCATGATCCGCAAACTGGCCTTAATGCCATCCAATAGATACTCCACATCTTCCTCGGCCACAAAATACTTGGGATCAATCTTGGGCCAGCCGAGAGGATTACGATCCCTTAGCCAAAGGCGACCCACAGACTCGGGATGAAATTGCATGACCAGCAGCGTAAAGTGATCCTGCTGCGCCTGTGCCAATTCTCTGTACATCCTGTCATAGATCTCATCCTTGAAATTGGCACCCAATTTGAGGCCTGTGCCCTCATCACTGGCCAGGCTCCCAGTGACCATAATAAGTTCGATATCTGGCCAATCCTTGGGCAAAGTAGAACGTGGTGTCTTGAGGAAAGCTAATGCCTCCACTCCACCAATGGAGCTCAATCTGGTGGCAGGACTTCCAGCTAGGAGATACGACAGAACCTCAGTGGGTGTGACCCTGGAGGTGAATGTGGTTTGACCCGTGGTATTTGTAACAATAGTGGGTCCAAAATGACACATGTGATCGTAGAGACGACGACCCACTGGTAGCTCTTTAACTATCGGAATTCCAATGGCCTTTAGATTATCCTCTGGTCCAATTCCTGACAAGATTAGTAGTTGTGGCGAGTTAAAGGCTCCTGCCGAGAGGATCACCTCCTTTCGAGCCTTGAAAGTGTAGGGTTTGTTCTTGTAATGAAACTCCACACCGTAGGCAGATTTGGTGGCATCATCGATAAGGATGCGGGTCACTCGGGTATAGGTAAAGATGTGCAAATTGGAGCGAAGATCTCGCACTGGTTTTATGTACGCCGAATAGGCCGAATGCCGTCGTCCATTAAGGGTCGTGGCCTGGACATATGAAACTCCAAATTGTGATTCTCCATTGTAATCGGTGCGTGGTAATCCCGACTCCACAGAAGCCTCCACAAAGGCATCCACCAGTTGAGACCGGAAGCGTACATATTCCACACTCAAGGGACCACTGTGATTATGATATGGCGAATTCTCCAGCCCCTGAAGCTGGGCATTCTCGCTGCGCAGGAAATAGGGCAGGACTTCGTTGTAGCTCCAACCAGGATTACCAGCCTCCGACCAGCCATCAAAATCCCTTCGATTGCCACGATTATAGATCATATAATTGATGGAACTAGTGCCTCCTAGAACCTTACCCCTGGGCAGGGCACACTCCTGATTGTTCATGCCCAGGCAGGAGAGTTTCTGCGGCACCGATTTGTAGCCCCAATTGGAGGATGTCTGTTGAAGATAACCAGCCAGGACAGGTGTCGAATGGGCTATATTCTCCACACCACCAGCCTCCAGCAAGGCCACCTTCCATTGGGGATTCTCCGAGAGACGGGCAGCCAAGGTACAGCCAGCGGCACCGGCACCAATTACAATAAAATCATAATTGGTTAGATCCCTGGGTACTGCAATATAAGTTTAGATATATACTTTCTTTAATTATTTAATTATTGAGATCACTCACCATTGGGACGCGTTGCCTGATCTAAAAGATTGACCAATCCCACCTGGTTAAGCTGCTCCAATAGCAACCGATTGACATCTGCCCGGCATCCATTTAGGATTAATAGCAATACAATTGACAGAAGTTGGTTCATTGAGATCTTAAATGTGGAACGTGGAGTGGCATTTGCACCTGCTAATGCTGGGCAAATGAGAGACCCATCGCTGGGGGAGTTGCTTTTAAGCCATGGCATTAGCTTGGCTCCTGGACAGAACTGGACTGGAGACGGGGATGACTCAGGTGGCGGGCCATAATGCCATAATACCGCATACACATACCAAACACAGATACATTTGCACCTGCACAATGAGCTCCAAACACGGTGTCTTTTGTTGTTGCTTCTGTGGCTGTTAATCCAACGGCAGCGCCACCGACGCCGCCCAAAAACCACCATAAAAAAAAACCACATACCCTGCAATTCTTTCAAAAGAGAGTTTGGGAAATCGATTTAGAGTTTGATTTAGGTTTGGAGAAATTCGATAGGAAATGTAGAAAATATCGAAGAGTTGTCGATATTTTCACTTTTTCTACAAAAGTAAATATCCATAATATTATATTTATCGATAAAATGCCTTATACAATCGTTTCAATATTTAAATGTTTATAGAAAACTAAATTTTTTCAAAATACAGGCTTATTCAAAAATATATTAAATTGGGTATTAAGAAAACAGCTTAATATAAATACAAAAAAATATTTCTATCGATACCATATCGACTATATATGGTTCTTTTATATATATACAACTTTTAATATATATTAAGTATGGATAACAGAATAATTTTAATATAAATGAAATATAAAAAACATATTACAACTTCCATTTACTGGAATTAAGTCAACATTTTCTTACAATAAATCCAGAGATTTCTTTTTGATTGATAAAATATCCAAAAAGAATGGGAAATTTTTTTAACTTAAAAAATGGGATATTTTTATCGATACCATATTCCTTTATATATATAAAACTTTAATTACATATTAATTATCAATAACAGAATAATTTTAATATAAATAAAACATAAAAAACACATTACATCTACCATTTACTGAAATTAAATCAACGATCTACTATCTAAAATACTTTTTACTTACTTAGAATAAATCCAGAGATTTCTTTTAATTGATAAAATATTCAAAATATAATAGAAAATTTGATTAAACTTCAAAAATTGAGTAAATTGTTGTTGAAAATATCATAGAGACCTCAAAATGCTCATAACCCAATCGAATAATATGGTTTTATGAATGAATTGAAATGCCAACTCCCGTGGCCCCCAGGAAGAAATAAAGCAATGAATGAAATTAAGCGTCGACACGCGGAAAATCGTTAAAGTTTATAACCAACTGAGGAGCCAAAGAACCAAATGGACTAGCAAATAGGAGAATGAAATGGGCCATTAAGCAAGGCAAAGCCCAAAGAGCGAATAAACAAATAACAAAACAAAAAAAACCTGAGGAAAATCAACAAACTAACGGCTAAAAGAATTAAGAAACCAAGAAACTTTAAACCGGTTGAAGAACTTAAAAACAAAATTTCAGCTTAATCTAGCACCAATTAGCAGTTAAGAAATTAATGAAAATGGGAGCAAAGAAGAGATGCCTGAAATCATTAGTTTTTTTGTTCTATTTTTTTTTAGACTCTATAACTTGGATATAGATAAGAGTAATACAACTATTCTCTCCTTTAATAATACTGATGTATAAATAATGATATAACTCATTAGCAATTATTTCTCCTTGATGTAAAACAAAATACCAATTAGCCGATACGATTTTGATCTTGCTAAATGCTTGCAATTAATTTCAATTTCAATTAATGTCAAAGTTACAGGGTATCAATCCAATGCTAATACCACATTTCCTGGTTTGTCCAAATGTGAAGGGAGACAGACAAGATTCTCACTCTTTTTTTTGTCAAGTGTTCGAGTTCGTTTAACTTTTGGCGCGTGCTCGGCGTCCACTGGGAGTGCACTCGGATCTCGATCTGTATAGGTATTACGTATACCTGTACCGTATATAAATATAAATAATTATATATTTAAATATATATATACACTCAACACTCCCAGCGCTCTTCATTTTTTGAGTGCCGAGCATTGAACTTGATCCAAAGTGTTGCTTTCGTGGGAAGGAAACCCGTTTGCACTGCCTCAGATTCGCAGATTCGGATCGGTGCGAAGTAATATTAAGCTAGGTCATGACGTGATCTGGTTGGGATTGACCCGAAATGTTCTCGAGACCCCATAAGCTAAGGTACACTCAAAGAAATGCAGGATAACCTTTTATATCAATGCTTAAAAAATCGCATAACTCAGCCAAAACAGCATTAATTTCAATTCGGAAAGCGGTCGTATGTTAATTTTTAGCAGATTTATAAAACTGCATACTCCATTTAAAATGTGAATTTTTGGCCGATTTTTGCAAATTTTCATGATGTAACCCCTTTCCTTTTTTTCAAAAAATGGGAAATTTCTGAAAAAAAAATGTTTTCTTCCGGAGATGGCTTAAAAGATTTGCCTGTTGATGCTGATCAAGAATATATATAGTTTATAGGGTCGGAAATGACTCCTTCACCTTCTTTTGAGCTTCTGACTACAAATATAATACCCTTTAAGAGTATAAATATATACCCTTTACATATATTTTCAAAATAACATCATTCCTTAATATAACCATATTTTTCTCTCTTATACTTTTTAAAAAATATATGAATATGTATTTTATTGAATTTATAAGCCTAGAAAAAAAAGAATGGAGCCTAATGTTAATTAAATCAATAACTAAATATATATATTTATTTGCTCTCGTATCTGGCTTTTAGAAAACACTTCTGAACCAGTTTTGAGTGGCGATAGCTTCTCCCAAGTGTTCCAGTGTACCCATTCCCTTGGTTCCAACTTTCGTTTTGCATTTTATTGACCCATTTACATGAATCATTCGAGTTAATTCGGTATCCAAGATGATCTCTGTTGAAAAATCAACTCCATTCGGATTGTATCATATCCGCTGCCTTTTCCCCGATCATAATTGCCGCCGCATTGGTGTGTCCGGTGGATGGTCGTGGAATTATGCTAGTGTCCACCACACGAAGTCTCCTCATGCCATGAACCTTTAGCTGATGATTAACCACGCTGGTGGGATCACTTTCCGGTCCCATGCGACAGGTGGCCACCTGGTGATGCAGAGTATAGGATAAAGTTCGAATTGAGCATCGCCAGTAATCATCCGAGGCGAATTTGTGTCCCTCACAGCCCGGCACTGGTTTGTCCAGAAGCCTGGTTCCAATGGCCTGCATCGCTGGCATTTTGGAGATCCTCAAAGCCTCCTTAATTCCATCCAGCAAGTGTTCAATATCCGCTGGCACTGAGAAATATTTGGGATCAATGCGTGGCCACTCCAAAGGATTGCGATTATGCAGCCAAAGGCGTCCCACGGAAGCAGGATTAAAATCCATGATCAAAAAACTAAAATGATCCCGTTTCTGGAGTGCCAACTCCTTGTACATCTTCTCATAGATCTCTGCCTTGAAGTTGGCTCCCTGGGCAAGGGCAGTGCCCTCATCACTGGCCAAACTTCCGGCCACTTGGATTAACTCGATATCTGGCAATCCCGGGGCCGTCTTGGCCGAAGGCACCTTGATAAAGGTGAGTGTTTCCACACCGCCAATGCTCGAGAGGAAGGTATCGGATCTGCCCAGCAGAAATTCACTGACCACCGGTGGCCCTATGCTGGCACTGAAGAGGGTTTGACCCGTGGTATTTGTGACAAAAGTGGGTCCAAAGTGGCACATGTGATCGTACATCTTTCGTCCCACGGGCAAAGTCTTGACTATGGGAATCCCTATAGCCCTAAGGTTATCCTCTGGACCAATACCCGACAACATTAGCAACTGCGGGGAGTTAAAGGCTCCCGCCGAGAGGATCACCTCCTTGCGGGCTTTCACCCGAAAGACTCGTCCCTGATGGGTGAACTCCGCGCCATAGGCGGTCTTGGTGGGAGTGTCGATGAGGATACGGGTTACCCTTGCCAAGGTGACTATATGCAAATTCTTGCGACTTGCCCGAATCGGTTGTATATAGGCACGAAAGGCACTATGCCGCCTGCCCTTTTGGGTGGTGGCCTGGACATAATTAACGCCCAGTTGCGTCTCTCCGTTGTAATCCACCCGGGAGTGTCCTGCCTCCTGGGCACCCCTGATATAGGCATGGGCAATTCGCGTCCTATGACGCACATCCTCCACACTTAGGGGTCCACTATGATTATGATATGGCGAGTGCTCAAAGCCCTTGAGTTGGGCATTCTCTGCGCGGAGGAAATAGGGCAAAACATCCTTATAACTCCAGCCAGGATTACCTGCTGCCGCCCAGCCATCATATTCCCGACGATTGCCACGATTATAGATCATATAATTGATGGAACTGGTTCCTCCAAGGACCTTGCCCTTGGGCAAAGCACACTTCTTCTCGTGCATCCCAAAGCAGGCATTACGCTGCGGTGTCGATCGATAATTCCAATTTGAGGCTGTGCTCTGGAGATGTGCCGCCAGCACAGGCACCTGATGGATTAAATTCTCCACACCACCGGCCTCGATCAGGAGGACACTCCATTTGGGATTCTCCGTGAGGCGGGAGGCCAAAGTACAGCCCGCAGAGCCAGCTCCAACCACTATGAAATCATAATGCGATAGGGGTGCTGCCAAAAACAATGGAAAATTGTAATAAAATACATAATATAATATGATATAATGCTTAAAAACCACCTCACCATCGCTATACAAGGGTAAATTGACGATATTTCCTAGCCCAAGTTGCCTTAATACATCCAGATTTTGCTTATTCGAGCTGTCCAGTCTTAATCCAGGTAAGATCGGGATCAGCAGAAGCAGAAACAGAAGCCGGAAGAGCAGAAACACCTTCTTCATGGTTGCGTTTATGGACGGTAACTGAACTCTGCGGCAACGCAGCTTCACACCAAGTTGGATCTCTGACGATGCCACTGGACCGTGGTGCAAAAGGTGTATATATAGCCAGGCTTTTGTGTCTTAATAATTGAAATTAAATGATAATATAATATAGGGATATTCAAGGATACTATGGCTTAGCGATATAAATCGATATTTTTATATGACAATTTCTTAACGACAAATCCAAAATTTAAAAATCTCATAACTAAGCCAAAAATGCATTAATTTTAAGTCAGAAAGCGCCCCAAAGTTAGTTTTTAAGAGGTTAATAAATCTGCATACTCAGTTTAAAATGTAAAAAAATTCACATTTTTGTCAATTTAATGATATCAAATTTTGGGGGAAAAAAATAAAAAAAAAATTGTAATTTTTTTTTCTCTCGAACATGGCTAAATCGATTCGCCTGTTGATGCTGATCAAGAAATTATATAATATATGGGGTCGGAAATGACTCCTTCACTCAGTTTCAGGCTTCTGACTAAAATTATAATACTATTCTCTGAGCCCATATCTATTTATATTTTTTGTGAAACTTTTTGGTTAAGCTTAATCTTAAATATATGATAACTCGGCCAAAAATGCATTAATTTCAAATCGGAAAGCGGCCCTAAGTTAGTTTTTATGAGGTTAATAAATCTGCATACTCGGCTTAAAATGTAAAAAAATTAAAATTTTTGATCAATTTATGACAATTTTAACCTTTAAAAATTTTCAAAATTTAGAAAAAAAAAATATTTTTGTCGGACATAGCTAGAAAGATTTGTCTGCTAATGCTGATCAAGAATATATATAGTTTATAGGGTCTTAAACGATTCCTTCACTTTCTTTTAAGCTTCTGACTGAAACTATAATATCATTATTTGAGCCGATACTTATTTATATTATATATACTAAATTTATGGTTTAACTTAAGTTTTAAAATACCATAACTAAGCTCAAAATCCATTAATTTTAAATCGGAAAGCAGTCCCGTGTTAGTTTTAAGTAAAATAATAATTCTGCATACTCAGTTAAAAATGTAAAAAATTTAAAATTTTTGATTTATTTTTTGACAATTTTGATGATGTAAAATTAAAAAAAAAAATATGTTAAAATTTTTTTCTGCCTAAGATAGCTAGATCGATTTGGCTGTTGATGCTGATCAAGAATATATATAGTTTATAGGGTCGGAAATGATTTTTTCAATTAGTTTTAAGCCTCTGACTAAAATTTAAATACCCTGCAAAAAGATATTTAACCAATTTCTAGTAAAATTGAGTTTATTATCTCATTAGTATTATTGAATGTTTTAAAAGGGATGTTTTAAATGTTTATTTCGTATTTTCGGTAATTTTTTAGACCAAAGTGTTATTGAATAATAGATTTTAATGAATTTCGTGACACTGTGGATCATCTTAATGCCGGTTTGGTTCTCCCTGGCTGATCTTTCTTCCTATCCCTTTCTTTCTCTTTTCCTCTTTCTCTTCTTTCTCTGCCTTTCTCTGTACACTTACAGAAAATATTGATATGCCAATGAAGTCAATATTAATAAGTTAATTCTTATTAAAGATTTAACCTTACCAAACATAACTTTATAGATCTTAAAACTCAAGGCTAAAAATATAAAACTTTAATTCAAATGATATAAAGAATATCAAATCTTAAAATCATATTAAAATTAAAATTGCAATGATATTTGATTACAATGTCATTGTTTTTCTTTTAAGAGGGATAAAGCATAATCTTTAGGCTATAACTAAAGATTTTTCCGAATAGAAAATATTACAATTTAATAGGGAAATACGGATTAGTGGTATATATTTTTCTCTCTGTGTATTTGTCTTGAAACCAATGAGTTGGATGACTTTGTTTGGCCGGGTTTTGTAGGGCTAAAACAGGCTGTGATTGCCTCAAATTTTTATTGCCCCTTGCTAATTTTTGTAGCTTTCAGCTTGTTCTGTGTTCTCTCTCTCTTTCGTTTATTTTTCCCTGACATCTCCCATCTCTTTTTACAAGTATTCTGGCCACATCTCTGTCCCTGTCTCAGCCTCAGCCTCAGTCTTGGTTTTTGCATCTAAACCCGAGCTTGGTTCAGTGGCACTTGGATGGTTGGGCAACTTGTTTATTATTATTTTATTTTTTTTTGCTTTTTTCTGGTGAATCTTTGGAGATTGGAGATTGAAGACTGAAGTACTAGAAGCGGGCACTTGAGGGTTAATATATACCAAGAGCAACCCCATAGTGACCAAAGTACAGAACGAAACCAAAGCGGATTAAACGACTTTGCGTCTAGTCTCCCCCAAAAAAAAAAAAACTGACATGAGATGAGAAAATTAAGAAAGGATATATACATATATATATAAAAAAAGGGGTGGCCTCCTATTATTGCAACGGAATCAACCCCCCAAAGCATATGGATGCAGTTCACAGGATTTCCCTTTACAACTGAAGGATGGGTCATGTTTTGGTCATGGCAATTGCATTCACAATTTGTTTCCTTTTGTGTTTGTTCGCCTTCTATTTTTTATTTTTATTTAGCAACTGAAATCCGCCCTCTAAATTCATGAATATTTCAATTTTGTGTTAATGAAAAGTCTGGCAAAAAAGGAAACCATGGTAACTTGTCCTCTTGTTAAAAAATCAAAGGGATATGGTAAAGGGTAAGCGGTTTTTATACGAGTTTTTACTTGTTAAATATACATGTTGTTTAAGAGATTTGCAGTAAATCTCGGAGTCTGAATAATCAATGGGTTTACACTTCAATAAAAACAAAGCTTAAGATCTACATTTTTACAGAAAGATATTAATATTTATTTTTTCGAACGTTTAAGCACAATAAAATTAAAAACTTGAGAGTTAGGAGACCTTAAAGTTGTTGTTTATTGCTAAAATGTATCTGTTTTTCCAGATATTCTAAAAATATAATATAGAAAATATCATAAAATTTGATATAGACAAATTTTTAATAGAAAATATCATAAAATATCGAACAAAATTGCATTTATCTGACATAAATTGAAATTTTAATATATAAATTCGTGTGCAACATTCGATATGTTGCCAGCAACAATGAATATATTCCAGTATGTTGCCGGCAACAATAAGTGTTGCTCAACATGTTCCCTACAATCACTTTCTTGTGTATGTCGACGTGTTAGATGGAAGTTTTTCTATAATAAATAAATAGAATAAATTGAAACCTAATTAAATAATGTGAATTTCCATGCAATTGTTTGTTTTTCGAAGATTTCCATGACTTTAGCTTTCTCAAATATATTTCTATATAAAAGCTTGTATATAGTATAATTGAAATAAGAATCTTTTAAGAATGCCGGCTTGGAAACCGGTTAAAAGTATCTCATTTTCGAGCTTCAAGCCAAGCTTTAAGCTTTTTATACAAAAACTAAACTGAATTTGGCTTATAGTCTACCCTTGGGCTTAGCTCAGCTCTTCTACTCCCGCAGTTATTCTCAATTTTCGACAGATTTATACCCAATCCATATACATAAATAATTCTAAGGTCAAATCGATGCAAATCGAAGCAACTTGAATGCAAAGATCAACGTTAAACCAAAGACTAACAGAAATTTTGAGACAAACAGCAGCTAAATATTCACACCGCCTTTTGTATCGTTAAAAAACAGACAGATAAAAAAAAAAAAAAAAAAAAAACGAGAGTAAGCCAAAAATCATTTCCGCAACAATAAAAAAATAGCCAAAAGAAGCAAAAAGATAGACAAGAGTGGAAACAAAGGCGTCTAATAAATCAAAACAAAGCGAAAAGAAACAAGAAAACAAAAAAAAATCGTCAAACAAGCGGTCAAATTCATGGATTTCACGGATTTTTTGATTACGATGCCACAAATTGATTAGCATGAAAATTGCCAGAGCTGAAAAAGTCGATGAAATTCAATGTCAATGTCATGTTGATTAGATTTAACAAATTAACGCCAAGTTTTTGAGTTTGAAATTAATTTTTGAGGTGTGATTTTATATAAAAAATAAGGAAAATTAGCTAGTTGTTCTACTAACAATAGGATTTTAAGGAGATTTTTAATGTAAAAAGGAGAAAACTAATTAATTTGAAAGAAACCTGAATGATAATAATAAGAATTTGACTAAATGGTTATTTTTTTCCTTATAACACAAAAACATATAAGAATATATGAACAAGAAATCACTATAAATATTTTGATAAACAAAACTATGCATACATACCACAAATTATATAAATAACTATGATTTTTACCACTTTCTCGCACTTTAATATTTTGTAATAAAAGTCAGCGGGAAACCCAGAGAAAAATCTCCCCTTTAGAAAACAATTTGAAGTACAATTTATATACAAAACTTATTGCGATTTATTTTAACATTTATATATATAGTCTTACGTCTCTAGACTTAATGTAGAATCAGTTCAGGCAAGACAGAATTAAAAGTTAATGCAAAAAAAAGGTACAGAAAACAACAAAATAGAACAACAATTTTTCGAATGCCGAGCACAGCAGCCTTAACCTAGCAACGTGGGCCCATATTTATGGGATTAATTACACAGAGGTGGGGGCCACACACACACCTGACTTTGGACTGAGAGGGAGGGATTATAATATATATACTAGGTACTACTACTACTATTGTATAAAACCATGATCCTGTTTGATCATATCCGCTGCCTTTTCGGCAATCATAAACACTGGACCATTGGGATGTCCGGACATAATCTCTGGCATAATGCTGGCATCAGCCACGCGAAGATTCTTGATGCCATGAACCCTTAAACGGGCATCGACCACAGCAGCTCGATCCGATTTGGGTCCCATTTTTGCGGTTCCAGAATAATGATAAATGGTGAAGGTAAAGTGACGAACATAACAGGCCCAATAGGCCCAACTCTTGTAGGGATGCTGCTTGCAAGTGGGAATCTTACGTTCCCACAATTTGGCATTAATGGCCTCCATGCCACGTTGATTCATCAAACTAATGGCCTTCAAAAGTCCTCGAACTGAGATGTCCACATCATAGGGATGAGCAAAGTAATTGGCATGAATCAAGGGATATTTGAAGGGATCACTGCTCTTTAACATAATCCGACCGCGACTCTTGGGTCTCAAGATCATGGGGAAGATCATAAAGGCATTGAGTGACTTGTCCTCAATCTCAGCAAACAGGGAATCGTAAATGCTCTTCTTTAAACCAAAGGCACGAGATATAGCAGGATTGGAGGACATGGATCCACCGACCAAGAACAGCTCAATATCTGGCCAACCATCCTCATCGCGTTCATGATCCAAATCCCAGAAAGCAATTGCCTCACAGCCACCGGGTGAGCCATAGGGACCCTCCATTCTATTAAATCTATTGATCAAAGTGGGATCAGCGAAATCCTCAAACTTCAAAGAAGTGGCATTTGTGGTGAAGGTAACCGCCGGTGCCGTGTGATCCTGAAGATTATAACCCACGGCTAGATCAGCAATTGGTTTAATTCCCACCTCTCTGAGATGTTTGGCGGGACCCACACCTGATAACATTAACAATTGTGGTGTATTGATAGCTCCTGCGGAAACAATGACCTCTTTTCTGGCCAAAATCTTGTGCATCCTTCCATCTGTTTGAACCATAATGCCATAGGCAGTCTTGGTCTGTGGATCAATTAGAACTTTGGTGACCAAAGCGTGTTTCTTTACATGCAAATTGCTACGTTTACCCTTCAGGGGATACAAATAGGCACGATTGGAGCTCCATCTGGTTGAATTCCTAGTGGTGGTATGCAGGAAAGCCACTCCATTTTGGATTCTACCATTATAATCTCTGTACTTGAGACCATCCTGCTGGGCGGCATCCACAAAGGCTTCGGCAATCTTGGAACGCCAATTCACATAGCTCACTTTGACGGGACCATTGCGACCCACATAATCCTCCTCGGCATCGGGTACACTGCTACCTTCGTACTTTTTGAAATATGGCAAGACATCCTTGAAACTCCAACCCGGATTGCCCAGCTCCTCCCAGCGATCATAATCCCGGCGATTGCCACGGGTATACATCATATAGTTGAGCACAGAACTGCCACCAACTACCTTCCCGCGTGGCCAATTGCATCTATTGTTATTCATGGCCAGACAGGCATGATCCGACGGTTGGGTCCTATACTTCCAATTCATTTCACCCAACTGCAGGAAATGTGCCACAATGGGGACATCCATGACCAAACGTTCGGGTCCGCCGGCCTCCAGGAGGAGTACACGCCACTGGGGATTCTCCGAGAGACGGGCAGCGAGGGCACAACCCGCTGTACCGGCACCCACAACTATGAAATCATATTCCGAATCCATAACCAGATTATTGTCAAAGTTCTCCAACTCAAGATCCGCTTGACCGCGTCGCAGGAAATTGATAGTCTCAAAGAGGACATTGTTCTCCTGGGCCAAGCCGGCACAGGTCCAAAAGATTAGGCACACAGCCGCAATTAATACGGATTTTCGACAAGTGCCCATTATCACTTCTTCACTTTGAGTCACCAGAAAAAAAATCTACTCGATTGATACGAGATTCTTTGGGAGTTTTGGTGTAACTTGAACGCGATCGCGTGCGTGTTGCCCAATCGGTTTCGGAACTAGAAATGCTGACAAATGCGTTGGCCAAGTTCAATTTAATATTAAATTCAGCCCCCGGATTCGGCCGAAGCCGAAGTTTTTTTTTTGTTTCGACGTTCGGCATTCGGCTCCAAGAGATCGCAGCCAAGAGCCAAGAATCTTCAAATCCACCGAAAAAGAGACTCAGCATGACTGTGGACACGTTCACAGTCACCAGAGAGACACAAAGCCAAGTTAAGTTTAAGTTTAAGAAAAAATAATGAAAAAGAAACTGAAAGCTCGGAGATTTTGACATTGACTTGAGCCGATCGCTTCCAATCGCTGGTTAGATGTCTTGGCAAAGATCGCAAAGATCGCAAAGATCACAAGATCGGGGATCACAAATGCGGAAGCCAGTTATCAACAATTAAAGGGCTTTTCCAAGGGCTAGAAATAAACCATCAAATACATAAAATTAGAACAAGATCTTCTCTTTACGAATACTATATAATAATTATAAAAAAGTATGGTTGAATCTTGTCTTTGTTGAGGCGGAGTTCTCAGAGAAACCAGTTGTAATCATTATAATATTTAAATGTCAAAAATAGCTAATATCTCTTCGCTTTATTAAGCTTAATATAAAATGTTCTGGAATCTATATTATGTATCTGCAATTAACATAATTCATGAGTTTTCTCTACGCTTCAAAAATATTATATAAACTAATAAATAATCACAATTGAAAACAAATACCAATTGATAAATTTATCAATATTTTATAATATTTTTGGTTTACTTAAAGTAACGATATTATTGATTATAAATTCTACAAAAATAAATTCTGTTTATATATACATTCATTTATTCTTAATATTATTATTTTCATTAAAAACAAACAACTTTACACATTTATCGCTCGCATTTTATCAATTAGAATTCTATTATTGATAAGCTAAGATCAATCAAGAAATAACACTAAATCAGAAGCTCATTTAGAATTAATTTCTAACAATTACAATTCCCTGACAATCTGCTTGAATTCTAAGCTTAAAGTACATCTTAACACTAAATGAACTTTGTGAATGAGTATCAACTATAATTTAAAGTGATTCTTATAATAACCATATAATTTTGTACAGATACCATGTTTTATTTATATATTAATGAACTAGAAAAATCACTCGTTTTAAATGCCAGATGTTTACTAAAATCACTCTTAAAATTATAACAAAAAAAAGGTACTTAAACTAACTCCTAGTTCTGCAAGTAATTATGATCCTCTTTGATCATATCAGCCGCCTTCTCTGCTATTAGATAAACGGGTCCATTGGGATGACCTGATACTAGGTAGGGCATAATACTGGCATCCACCACACGTAGATTCCCAAGGCCATGGACTTTCAAACGGGCATCTACCACAGCTGAGGGATCTTTCCTGGGTCCCATTTTGGCCGTTCCGGAATAATGATAAATAGTGAAGGTGAAGTGACGGGCATAACAGGCCCAATACTCACTACTCCGCCACTTGTGTTGCTCACATCCTGGCAGACGTTTCTCCAAGAGTCTAGCTCCAATATCCTTGAAGGCAGGTTTCTCCAACAACCTCACAGCCTGTTCAATACCACGAACAGTAATATTAAGATCATAGGGATCAGCAAAGTAATTGGCATAGATCAAGGGATGCTCGGTGGGATCTCGACTCTTTAGCTTAATCCTACCACGACTTTTGGCCCGCAGAATCATGGGGAAAATCATGAAACCATTGGCACTCTGACGTTCCAGCTCTCCGTACATGCTCTCATAGATCTCCTCCCTGATGCCCAGGGCCAGTTTTAAAGCAATATTCGTCTGCAGACCACCGCCCACCACAAAGATCTCCATGTCGGCCCATCCATCGGGATTTGTGGGATCATCGAGGGCATAAAATGAGATGGCTTCCACGCCACCGGGTATTCGTAGCACTCCGCGACCCTTGAGGAACTCTCCAATAACCTCGATACGGAACATTTCCTGAACCTGCAGGGAACTCACATTGCACAGAGCACTCACCGCCGGAGCTATATGATCTTGGAGGTTATAACCCACTGCCAGATCGGCCAAAGGTTTAATACCCATCTCCCTGAGATGTTTGGCAGGACCCACACCGGATAGCATCAGCAATTGTGGAGTATTAATAGCTCCCGCTGATAAAATCACCTCTTTTCGGGCCAATATCTTTAGGGTTTTGCCATTAATTCTTACCATAATCCCATAAGCACTCTTGGTCTTTGGATCAATCAGTATTTTGGTGACCAAAGCATTTTTTTGCACATGCAAATTGCTGCGACTTCCCTTCAAGGGATACAGATAGGCACGATTGGAGCTCCATCTGGTTTCATTGTAGATATTCGCCTGGAGATAGGATACTCTCAACTGTTTGGCTCCATTGTAATCTCCGCGAGGTAATCCCTCATCCTGACTGGCGGCCACAAAGGCCTCCGCTATGCGTGTCCTTGTCTTGGAGTAACTTATCTTCACGGGCCCCTCACGACCCACATAATCCTCCTCGGCATCGGGTATTGTGCTGCCTTCGTATTTCTTGAAATATGGTAAAAGTTCATTGAAACTCCAACCGGGATTCCCTAGACTAGCCCAGCGATCATAATCCCTGCGATTGCCTCGTGTGAACATCATATAATTGAGGGTGCTACTTCCACCCATCACCTTGCCCCTTGGCCAATTGCATCTTCGGTTCTTCATGGCCAGACAGTAGTTGTTCGAAGGCTCTGTCTTATATTTCCAATTGATATCACCCAACTGCAGGAGATGGGCCACAATGGGTATATCCATGACATAGTTTTCGGGTCCACCGGCCTCTAGGAGGAGTACACGCCACTGGGGATTCTCCGAGAGACGGGCAGCGAGGGCACAACCCGCTGTACCGGCACCCACAACTATGAAATCATATTTTGTGGCCAACGGTTGACGCTCATCCAGATTCTCCAGATCCAATTGGGCCTGACCACGTCGCAGAATCTCTAGGGTATCGAACAGGGAATTACCCGAGTAACTTTGACCCGCCACAGCCACTGCCAATCCCAGCCAGAAAAGGATGAGCCTGGAGGATGGTGGCGACCAATCCATGGCAATCCATGTCCGTATCCAAATCCAAGTCATTGAAGCGTCATGATTGTGATGCAGCCGGACGCACTCGACTATCGCGATCGACTGACCGCAGTACTGAGAGTTTTGTCGAGGGAAACTGCCTTTGAAAACTGCATCTAAATCGGCGACATGCGGGGCCCTGCATTGTTGACAATTACCAAATGATCGTGGTCCAAGTTACACAGAAAAAAAAACCCCAAAAAACCCTTAAAGTTTATAATGTATTTCACACTTTACTAAAAGATGTAGGTCATAATTAGAAATGATTCTAGAAAATCACCTGGAACTTGATTTAAAATGTAAACTCTAACCAGAAATTACTAACCATTAAATAGCAATTAATATTTCAATAAATTTATAGATTGTTTAGATATATTTCTCAGTGCATTTGTTTGTGATTTTTAGTTCGTGTCTAACCGGTAGCTATCTTTTATGCAATTAATCACAGTGCAATCGATCCAAGTCCATAAGCAATCAGCTGTAAAATTAAATTCATTTAAGAATCTGCAAATGACAGTTTACTTTACGTCATCTATTATAATTTTCTGTTTAAATTATGGGCTTGAATACAGAACAATTGATTAATAATCAATACGAAATGGAAAATCTAAGTATTAATCAACCAAATGATGTATAAATAGATATTCATTCATTTGAATATATATGATAAACGTTGTAAAATGAATAAGATTAATTTCTTTGATTAGCTTTAGCTTAAGAAAAGTTTAACCAAGGTCATGTATAATGCACTTTATGCAAAATTCTATTTTATTCAAGAAATATTTATTAGAGAAGAATCAATAATGATGCAAATATTGCATAATAGATTTTCCAATAGAACATTATATGAATAAATTCTTTCGAATAAATTACACAACAATCATAGATATTTTGCAGCTTTGAAAGTTCATTAAAATATATAGATAGATAGATATATATATATATATCCCTTAATTTATGCATTTGTTTCAAAGATCGTAAAAGGCAACAATCGCCACTCGTAACTAGTGAATGGAGTTGTAATGTTTGTTTATTTTTCTTTTTTTTCCGTTTGCCTGCTACATTGTTTACTGAATAATTTTATAATTATTTCCGCTTGCATGTGAATTCGTGAGCTTAGAATGGGACAGTCTTAATATAAATATATGTACAAATATATATATATATATGGAAAGATTGTCAAGATCCCAAAGCAGCCGACCGCAACCGTACTGACATACTAACTGAAAAAAGAAGAAAAACAAAATGAAAATAAATTAAGAAGCTGCTTAATGATTTTTTGATGGCATTGTTGCACCAAGAAAAAATAAATATATATATATATATATTTTCATATATTAAGTACTTTGCAACAGGACAATTCCAGGGGGAGTATTTAGCGTTGGATCGCAGGAGGAATATCAATGAGCCCATAAAGAACCTTTTGTGGCAGGGCTTCAAGGGCAGTCAGCAGCATCCAGCATCCAGCATCCAGCATCCGGCTCTCTTGGCGGCACTCAAGAACCGATGACATTCAGGTCCACGAATATACTTTGGAGTCAAGGCTGTCGAGAGGGTCTTGCGGCTTCCAATTTTGCAATTTGTCTGCGTTTTGCGATACGCGCAAGCTTCAAGTTCGTTGAGCTCCCATTCGCAAAGATGCACAGAGAGAAAAGTTATGGGAATTATAAATATATAGGAGTGAGAATTTAAACAAATTATAATAATAATGTGTGAATTCATTTCTCATATTTTTACAGCCTTACAGAGTATTATAATTTTAGTCAGAAGCTTAAAACTATGTGAAGGAGTCATTTCCGACCCCATAAATCATATATATTCTTGATCAGGATCAACAGGGGAATCGATCTAGACATGTCCGGCAAAAATTTATTTTCTTGCAAAATTTTGAAAATTTTCAAAGGTTAAAAAAGGTTTAAAATGTATCCAAAATTTTTAATTTTTTTACATTTTTAACCGAGTATGCAGAATTATTGCCCTGACAAAAACTAACATTGGAACGTTCTCCGATTTGAAATTAATGCATTTTTGGCTTAGTTATGGATTTTTTAAATTTTAATTTGTCCAAAAAATTTGCATATAAAAATATAGTTAATATCCATTAAAAAATGGTATTTCACCTTCAGTCAGAAGCTCAAAAGAAAGTGAAGGAGTCATTTCCGACCCCATAAATTATATATATTCTTGATCAGCATCACCAGGGGAATCGATCTAGACATGTCGGGCAAAAATTTATTTTCTTGCAAAATTTTGAAAATTTTCTTAACCTTTGAAAAAAAAGGTTTAAAATTTATCCAAATTTTTTATTTTTTTTACATTTTTAACCGAGTATGCAGAATTATTGCCCTGACAAAAACTAACATTGGAACGTTCTCCGAGTTGAAATTAATGTATTTTTTGCTTAGTTATGGATTTTTTAAATTTTAATTTGTCCAAAAAATTTGCATATAAAAATATAGTTAATATCCATTAAAAATGGTATTTCACCTTCAGTCAGAAGCTCAAAAGAAAGTGAAGGAGTCATTTCCGACCCCATAAATCATATATATTCGTGATCAGTATCAAAAGGAGAATCAATCTAGACATGTTTGGGAGAAAATTTTTTTTTTTTACGAATTTTTTCAAAATTTTAAAAGGGGTTACATCGTTCAAATTGTAAAAAAATCGATAAAAATTTAATTTTTTTCAATTTTATATTGAGTATGCACTTTTATTATCTTACTTAAAACTAACATAGGGCCGTTTTCCGAATTAAAATTAGAGCATTATTTGCTGAGTTATAAGATTTTTTATCTTTGATTTTTTGATCAAATTGTCATATTCAAAATTGGTAGATATTGACTAAAAAATGGTATTATAATTTTAGTCAGAAGTTTTTAAATTTGAGAAGGAGTCGTTTCCGACCCCATAAATCATATATATTCGTGATCAGCATCAAAAGGGGAATCGATCTAGACATGTTTTGGAGAAAACAATTTTTACGAATTTTTTCAAAATTTTACATCGTTAAAATTTTCAAAAAATTTTGAATTTTTTACATTTTATATTGATATGCAAATTGATTATTCTACTTAAAACTAACATAGGACCGCTCTCCGATTTGAAATTAATGCATTTTTGGCTGAGTTATGTGTTTTTCAAACTTTGCTTTGTCGTAAAATTTTCATATAAAAATATTAATTAATATTGATAACAATAATGCAAATAATTTAAGTTTAGTTATGAACGATTTCCGATTCGATCCCATTTAATTGAAATTTAACTATATTTTATATACATCTTATTTGTAATTTTAAATATTTATACCTTAATATTTTCCCTGATTCTGATTCCAATAATGACACCGATTTTTCTGCAAGTGTATTGGCTAACGGCAATTAATGCTTTGGGTCTGACTATCGATTGGTATTGTGCTGCCTCGTTGTCGCTATTTTTTTTTTCTGTTCGCATAAAGTCAAGAATTTAAGCAAACTCGTCGTCTTTGACCGACTTTTCATAGTTGGCAACGTCTGATTTTGGCCAAGTTGCTCTTTTGCACTGACTTTAATCTATTATATAGATATATATATATATATATATATTTTCTTGGCGGGCCTCGACCATGCCATGCCATGTCTTTATTGCGTTTTTGACACTCGATTTTGACATTCGTTGCGGTTCGATTGGGATGAGTTTGCCTCGTTTGTAATTACAAATTTGGTAGCTATTTCCCAATCCGTAGAGTGATGGTTCTTAGCCAAAATCAAGTCTTTTTAAGCCGAAATCATTAATTGCATTGCGTTCGATCATCATGACAAAGCAATTCATTAGGCTTCACAACAAAAATTTGCATAGATCTGTATGGTAAAGCTCTGATTTTATATTTCTTGGTTCCCTGATTAAAGCCAAAAAACCAGTTGTTACCAAAATAACTAGTAAATATTTGCCAAAAACTTGAGAGACGCCCCGAAGCTATAACAATTTTATTACAAAATTTCAAGGCTGCGAAAGAACAAGAAACTAGATAAAGTGGGGCTTAAAAAGGAGAGGAATTGAGTTTAAAGATTTATATAAAAATTTGTTTGTTTAGTGTTTCGAAACATGTAAATTTAAAAGGAAACTCTTAAACCTTTGATTCTACAAAAACTACTACACAAAATGTTTAAAGTAGGCTGGCTATATAGTATCATTATCTTTAGTTAGTTCCATAATGCCATAACAAAATTAGCCTCTGTCTGACCTGTTTGTTTCAGGTCATATTCTCTGCCTTTGAAAAAATTATATATTCAAATATCCTAGACCTTCAAAATTCTAAATAAAAATATTTTCAAAAAAAAGAAAAAAGGAAGAAAAGAAGAAAACGAATTAAACTATGGCCGCCATGTCACTTGTTGTACGCGAATGCCAGCCAAGGATTAGCAATTACCAAGTGTCTTCGCTTCAATTGGAAACCAGGAATGATCCCAAAGACATTGATAGCTCATCGCTATGCCTTCGCTCACCGATTCCCATGGATTCAAATGATAACCTGGGACGAAAGCAAATCAGATGTAATTTCCTGTATAGAAATCAATTCCATAGCAGTTTCTTGGGCAATGGTAATGAGAGAGAGGTGGATGCCATATCCATGAAGAATGATACCGAAGCCGATGCCGATGCTGTGACACTTGCAACTCTAACCAGCAGGCAGAATATATCATTGCAGCGAGAGGAGGAGCTAAGGGTGTTGCAGGAGCAACAGAACCAGGAGCAGGTACTTCCATCGGGCACATTTATCCGCCCAAAAACGGTGCCGGATAGCAAGTGCTCGGGTTTCCTTAGAGTCCTGGCCCGCAGCCTTGAGCATTGTTCGGAGAGAATTGCCGCTGGCTTTGGTCTAAGCCGGCAGCAGACAGCTTGGTACAAACATTGCTGGCATACACCCGGAACAGAGTCCCAGAGGATCCATGAATTGGGATGCCAGCCCAGGTCAATGATCTTTATGCCAGTCACCGAGGATTTAATGCCCACAAGCACGCCGAGCTCTACAACGCTGTGAGGGATCCAGACTTCAACTCCAATCCAAACTCCCCCAAAGCTGAAGCCTTCTCTTTGAATTTGAGGCTTTTGAAACAAATTTAAACAACAAGAATGAATAAAAAACATTAGTAATTTTCTATATTTAAAGACTTTAAAGTAGGGAAATATATAGCCAGTAATATGTTGATCTTTGTGCAACAAAGAAACAAAATCCCCCCGATAAATATTTACCACAAACAAACAGTTGAGAGAGACGAGTGAGGTTCATTATCGTTTGCTTGAGAATTCCATTCAATATTATTGCACTTTATTGTGATTTCCATTGATTTTCATGTTTCAATTACAAACGAACCGACAAATCGGCGAAAACAAATCTTGTAGGAAGTCAAAAAGCCATCGAAATGAATCAATTATTGAGACTGAGACTGAGAGACTTCCCCCAAGTGGGCTTTTTCAAGAGACCGCAGCAAATCGATTCATTTGCAGATGTCGATGATGATTGGACATGACAAAGCAGAACACAGAAGTTGAATAACATTTTGTGTTCATTTATAATGATAATAACAATAGTAATAATTGTTATAAGTATATTCACCTATTCGGATTCCAATTCCGTAGATTTTTCATAGATACAAAGCAAACAGATACACAGATCAAATCAAATATTTACTGTCGACCACTAAATCCCATTAAAGTGTGCAATTATTTGAGCCATGGTTCGATTGTCTTTTGTGTTATGATCAATGGCCAATTGAAGAGTACGTGACGCCAACACATACTCCATAAACTCGATAAAAAGCTATTAAAGTCAGGAAGTTGGATCGGAAATAACGAAGAGATATTTTATCTGGGGTTCAGGGATCAAGATTAAAGCAAATATGTTCTTATAAATAGAAATAATTGGTTATAGAGTACAGAAAATATAATTATTTAAACTAGAGATGTTAGAAAAGATCGATAAATTCATTGAACCTTTAAAATTACTTTATATATACATTAAATCGATATTTTGTTTGTATATCGGAATTTTCCCATGAGTTCCAAACTAAAGAAGGCAGAAAATATCTTTGTATTGATATTAAGTTATTACCTTATAAATAACAAATAAAATATTTTATCCTCTAATTTTGTTTGTTTTTAGTATGATATATGTGGTACGGTGTTTTAGATATTAAGATCAAACTGAACATATATTCTGTAAGATCTGTTATATAGATATTATATCATTAACTTTAATGTTGTTACATTTTTAAAAATTCGATAAACAAATCATTACAATGGTTTAGATATAATGATGTTAAGAATGATATATTTGTTGATTGAATATATCATTTTAAATTCTTCCCCACAGACATACCCAATATATTACAATATTTTAATTAGTCATCTTCTTCCGTTTCTATTTATCCAAAAAATGTACCAAAACGACCTCCGTCTTGTTAACTGAATAGTTCTTAATAATCAAAGCACCAAAATTTTCCCACTAATAAAAAAAGAAACCTTTCCGTTGCTAACCCAAGGTCACTCAAAGTGACTAAGAATTTCTTGAGTCTCTGATAATTATATAAGCCGAAAGGTCTGAAAGGTTGACTCTAACTCTTGCCTGATTGGCACCTTTGTAACAACCAAATAACTGGCTGTTCAGGTTCAAAGTGGCACTCCACAGGTAGCATATATATATATTTATATATATATGGGTCACTAATCACGATCCAAGGTCATTGAGAGACGAAACCTGATCATTACACACTTCCGCTGTTGGAGTTTGATGTAAGAATGCTATGAATGCCAATGAATACTAAGGGCCCTAAGCCCTTATTAATGTATAATTCCTAAAATTGATCATGATTTATAGCAACCAATTAATATTTCCACACATTAATATATATATCTCTCTTTTATTTACAGGTGAGTAACTGAATGAATATGGAAATGCAAATGCCGATGCCGAGAGATCAAGTTCATTGGGTCTGGGTCAACTGCTGTTGCTTGTCTAACGGAGTCCAACAAGTTGATTGACCTCTAACTGGAACGGTAACACATGTCAGAGCCGGAAGTTATCTGCAGATGATCCGCAGATACTTCCGCTGACTAGCCCTTGACCCGCTTTCCCATTTTCCTTTGTGCTTTTGTTTGGCAATTTTGCATAAAACTATAAAAAATACGAGATATCTGCATAGTCTAGGGCAAGTCCGTCAAGTTTTAGGGAAATTTCGTACTTCTTTTATTTATTTATTTTATTTTTAAAGTGGTCACGTAGACGTTCAGTCTCCAACTGGGTTTAGGGGTAGCACGTGGCGTATACGTAATGTTTTAGAGAAGGATTAATGAAAATTAACATGACATACTCATAAGAAATAAGAAATTAATGTTTATGAAGAAAATAATACGTTTTAATATATCGAGAAATATATAAAGCTCAATATTACTTTAAAAATATCTTACAATTTCATCTATCAACATTTGAAATATAATATTTATAGTTGAAATATTAATATTATCGAATAAATATCGGAAATATATCGAAAAATATCGTATAGAACGTTGAAATATGTATATTACCGATATAATATTAATTGAAAATATGGTACATTTTAATATTTCGAATTTTTAAATACTACAAAAATATTAAATTTGAACATTAAAATATTAATATTATAGAAAAAATATACAACATTTTAGCTTGAAACCTTGAACTTGGCTAAATCATCGCCGCCACAACGATTATATTCGTGTGATTTAAGCTCAATGCTTTGTTGTAAATTGCTCGTTGTCTTGGACATTTTGCATTAATTAGATATCAAATCTGGTTTTTTGTGATCACCTCATCATGATGAGATTTTGGTTCGTTAGAACCAAAATTTGGAACAGGGACAGGGACCATATACTTAGCACATCTTCTTCCGATATATCGGAAATGGGTGATTTTATTATTTTTTTATATTTAAGTTAATTTGATTAGACCAACTTTAGAGTTGGTGTTTCCTTCCGGCTTCCGATGCTGCTCGTATAACATGAAAATTGTTGACCAAGGTTGCTTTGCCTGTCAGAATAGATGATTTATAGCACTTGGACTTGGTATTTGGACTGGGCCAGTTTAGTGGTCATATATCTTGTATCTATTACCAAGGGGCGTTGCTAATACAACTATCTATATATGTATATATATACAGTTTAGCTGTTAAAATGGTTGTTGGTAATTAAATTTGTTGCCTTGCGTGCTTTTGTGTCTTTTTTATGACCGCGCCCAAAAGTTAGGCTATATATTAGCACGAAAGTCCAAAGCAGAGTTGACAAAAACATATACAAAATGTATATATAGGTTTATGATTTAATATCATAAAAATATTTAAAATAATAAAATTATTAACATATAATATCTTCTTCAGAAAGAAAAACAATTTATCAAGATTGTAAAAAGAACTATTTATGCTTTTTAGAAAAGCACAAAGCACATATTATATAAAAAGCAACTAAATTCGTAAAACCCTTCAATATAATTCAAACAAAATTACCAAAAATATTAAACAATATTTTCTTTGACAAAAAACAGCAATCGAATTAAGGTATAGACCATAAATATAAATCAGTCACGCAATTTGCTGCTTTTGCTTTTGCTTTTGCAGCTTTTGCTTACCTCATTGTGACATTGCCTGCTTTTTGGCTGTAAGCAAATAATAATCTAAAATAATGAAATTCCTTTAACGCCTTTTTAATGCTTCATTTATGCAAATTTAATTTATTAAATAGAATGTCATTTAAATAATGCGTATGTGTGTGTTTATGGGAAGGGTGTTACCTATAAATAGTCAAACAATATACATATATATATATATAATAAAATTATCTAATTCTAGTTCTTAGCATAAATAATACGTAACCAGAAAAAAAGAGATTGATAACAATAACTAAAGATAAAAAGATAGGGATATATCTAGGAATACAGCATTTAGTTGGAGAGTGTGTTGTTAGCATTTGTTTATATAAATATACAATATATATTTAATCTATGACTCGATTTTTGTAATTAGCTTTCTGCTTGTTCGTCTTGCCTTGGATTTTCTTTTGTTACTTTTTTGATTGTGGATGAGATTCAAAAGATACTCTTCTTTATAAAAGATTCTTTTAATTCTTTAGCTGATTTTGAATAGGGATACCAGCAAGACTATATAAAGAGTAAGATGCATAACGTGATACGTTTGGAGCTGTCTCTAGGATATTTTAAAATCAATTTTTGAATGTTTTCTCTCTTAAATTTGTTTGATTTTTCGAGCTTAAGTTGAAATATATGTGCGTTATGCATTTTATGCTTTATATAGTCTTTGGTGTATGCTTAAAATTGGCTCTTCTTTTTTTCATAACTTCATTTTTATATTGAAAGATTGGATAAATCTGGTCTCTTCTCTGGTGCATTTCCCTTTCGACAAGTTAACTTTTAGCAATGGCAAACATTGAGTGTTTTTAAAGCTAATGGACCCCTGAGCACAAAATCTGGAGCTGACTGATGATCTCTCCCCTTTTAACTAACTATCCGATGACAGTGATGTGGTGTTGCCTTTGAAATTACTTGTACTACTACTACTACTACTACTTCCGCTGCTCTCCAGGATATCTATGAGTGTCCTTGGGGTGGTGGTAATGTTGCCATTACTCCCATCAATAGGAGGTGGAGAGACTGTCACTCCTTGGATCACCACACCACTTGCAGCTGGCTCAGTATCCTGAATTGTTGCCTGCCGTTTAACCTTGTACTCGGGATTTGTTAGCCAATCCTCTTTGATGAGATCGGCACCCTTTTCTGCAATCATAATGACCGGAGCATTAGTATTTCCACTACTAATCGTTGGCATTATGCTGGCATCGATCACACGAAGTCCACGGACGCCATAGACTCGCAGACGAGGATCCACAACCGCCTCGGGATCCCAGGCAGGACCCATTTTCGCTGTGCCACATGGATGATAGATGGTCATCGAAATGGTACGAACATGACACTCCAAATAGGCATCCGAAAGGAATTTATGTTGCTTACAATTTGGCAAAGGTTTTCGCCACAATCTCGAACCGAATTGCTTAAAGACCTGAGCCTCGGCCACACGTAGAGCTATCTTGGCACCTTCAACCAGTGTCTTGGCATCCAATGGATCATCAAAGTAATTGGCATTAATCAGGGGATAATGAAAGGGATTAGCCGATCGTAACTTCACCGAACCCCTCGATCTGGGACGTAATAGTAGAGGCATTATTGTCCAACTATCCTTATTGGCTATGGGATGATAGACCTCCTGATAGACGGATTCCTTTAGACCCAACACCTTCTTCACTCTGGCACCATTATCCGAATTAATCGATGCCGGAGCCATATGAAATTGTATATCCGGCCAGTCGAGACTACGATTGGAGTATGGTGTATGGACAAAGGCCAAACCCTCTACACCACCCAGAGTGGTCATGGGTCCACGTTCTCTCAAAACATATTGAAATGTCACAGCTGTGGGATTGAAACGATCCTGAACAATGGCCACAGGTTTATCCACCAGAAATGTTAATCCACCCATTCCGACATGATCCTGCATATTCTCACCCACGGGGAGATCCTGAAGGACACGTATTCCATGCTTTTCCAAATGTTTCCGTGGTCCCAGGCCCGATAGCATCATCAATTGTGGTGTATTTATGGCTCCGGCTGAGAGGATTACTTCCCTTCTGGCTGATATTCTGTAGACTTTTCCATGTTTTACAAACTCGACAGCCTGGGCACGCATTGTCCCTGGTTCCACAATGATTCTGGTGACATGGGAATTCATTGAGAGATGGAAATTCTTACGCTGCCTGATGGGTCGCAGAAAGGCCTTGGCTGTGGAGCAACGTGATCCTCGTCGTATCGTTCCCTGGGCAATCATAAATCCCGCCTGTTGAGCTCCATTGATATCACGATTATCATAACCCATTTGTGTTCCAGCTTCCACGAAGGCAGCCACCAGTGGAGAATGCCATGGTGATTCCTGCACAGTTAGTAAACCACCGCGACCATGATATTGATTATTAGCCAAATATGGATTACGATTATCCTCTGACTTTTTGAAATAACGCAAAACATGATCATAATCCCAGCCAGGATTACCCAATGAAGCCCAATGATCATAATCATTGCGATTTCCACGTACATAGAGCATATAATTCAGGACTGAACTGCCACCAAGTACACGTCCTCTGGGCCAATTACAACGATTATTTTGCATTCCCAAACAGGCTTTCGTCGAGGGTTCAGTCTTGTAACCCCAATCCAATTTACTCAATTGCAAATATGCCGCCAAAGAAGGTACATCCGAGATCTCATTCTCATCGGGACCAGCTTCAATGAGCAAAACTTTCCATTTTCTCACTTCACTGAGACGATTGGCCACAACAGCACCTGCTGAACCACTGCCCACCACTATGAAATCATATTCAGGATATAGGTTTAATTGATCCAATGGTCTTGATTCAGGATCTACAGCATCATAGCGATAATATGTGATGGCAGCCAGCATTAGGGGGATTAACCAAAGCCCAGTGGTTACCACACCAAATGTGGACTTTATCACAGTGGTTATAAAGAGGAGATTAAGCACCATTTTGAAAGGGGGTTTATTGGAATTGGAAGTCTAGAGCAGGTTTATTAAGGGATTTTTATCCTGTCTGGTTGTTCTTTATCCTTTTGTTGTTTTTATAAATGAATGTTGTATGGTCTTCTTCTCTCCAATTCTAGGATCTAGCGTTTCTTTCTTTTGTGCATGGCTAAGCTACGGGTTTAGCTTGGGCTTTAAATATGCTTTACTTCGGATGGTTTTGAAGCGGGTTTCTCGGTTGATTTTCTAGTTAGTTTCTTTGGAGTTTATCTAGAATTTTTCTTACTATTTTGAATGGAGAAGAATTAGCTTGAGCCTTGGTTTCTGTAATTTAACAGTTTTAAAAGGGAGTTAAGTTGTTTCAAGTTCTGTAATTACTTGTTAATTATTGAAGTAATATTTTCCTTGTCGTTGCTGATTATTCAGTTACTATTTTTGTATATTCTTGCTGATCTTCCAGTTAAAACATTTATTTTTTTAGCTGATCTTCCAGTTAATATTCTCCTTGTCCTTGCTGATCTTCCAGTTAATATTCTCCTTGATTTTGCTGATCTTCCAGTTAATATTCTCCTTGTTTTGCTGATCTTCCAGTTACTGTTTTCCTTGTCCTTGCTAATCTTCCAGTTAATATTCTCTTTGTCTTTGCTGATCTTACAGTTAATATTTTCCTTGTTTTTACTGATCTTTTAGTTAGTATTATCCTTATTCTTGTTTATAGAGTATTCAGTAACTATTGGATAACTATTTTCCTTGTTCTTGTCCAGTACATTTTTTTCTTTTTAATAGTTCATTAAATCCTTTAAGCATTTGTGTTAATTTGTTTAAATCCTGGTGCTCTCCTTTGTGCTTGTCGTCAGCCAACTGAAAATAAAATAGAAATAAGACTATAAATAGAAGGTTTAAATAGTTACAAAATAATTAGACATAAAAGAGCTTTAATATCTTAGAAAGAGAAATAAAGAAACACAAAAACAGCAATCTAATTGAGTTACCCAAAACTTGACTTAATTTGGAATTTAGCCGAGATTACTTCACTGCAGATTGTGCATTCATGTTACCAAATTTTGAGGTGCAACTTTGTGCCACTCTTCTACTTTTTGTATTTAGCGAACCGTAGACAAATACTAACCATTATAATACCTTTCCCAATCTATAGCCGCATTCTAAAGCATAATTAAATGATTGTAAATTCGTTGAGCTGATTTACTTAACTTAACAACTTGCTCAACTCAACTCCAATGGATTGCAACAAAACTGTTAAATGGTAAAACCTACATTTCCCTAACCAATTTCGTTGATATATGTTAACACCAACGACCTTGACGATATAGCTGGCCACATTTCCCAAAGGGGGAGACTTGTTAGCGGCTTTTTCAAAATGTAAGCCACGTAAATGCATTTAACCATCTTTCATTTGTTTGTCTTTCAAATTCGTCGGCCGTTTTCGGTTGGATTACAACAATAACTTGGGTATATGTATATATATTTATATATATTAACTGACGTAACCCGGCAAGAGACCCTAAAGTTTTATTTTTGCCTTGTTTTTTTCCCTCGTAATTGGCGTGCTACGAAATTTTGTTTGGGTTTTCGATTCGATTCGATTGTATTACGAGCATTTTTGTATCTAAGCTGAGCTTCAAGCTGAATCTGGAAAAAAAATAAAGCCGAAAAAATATATACAAATGTTGACACATGCTTATTTTATTTTCAAATATATGTTTGTATATATATTTCTTGTTTTCTTGTTTAGTTGTCAACGATCGGGTGTTGAAATAGTATTTGTTGTGCCGCATTTCAACCAATTTTGTGGGTGTGAAAGCCTACAGAAAAAAAAAATTCACACACCTGCTGACCTAATGAGTGTGAGAGTAAAAGTAACAGGTGATAGACAGAGAAATGATTAACGATATTCAAGAAATTAAATCGAAGCGAATCCATTTTATTCGCCCAATAAGTTCATTCACTTTTTGATTGATACAAATTAAAGTTTTATTAAATCATTAATAAAACTTTGATTTAAACTTTCAGAAAACTAAGCATTAAAGGAGACTGTGATTAGACTTTATTTCGTAAATATTAATAATATTAAATTGAAACTAAGTATGCTGTTATAACAATTGTAAAAATAATAATTTTTTCTATAAAAATGATAAAAAATCAAATTACTCCCCCTTATTCAATTTGTAATAAAAAAGTTGTAGAATAAATTAAAAAGTTGTATTATAATTTTAGTCGAAAGCTAAAATCTAAGTGAAGAAATCATTTCCGACCCCATAAATCATATATATTCTTGATCAGCATGAACAGCCGAATCAATCTAGCCATCTTAGGCAAAAAACGAATTTTCTAATTTTTTTTCACAATTTTATTGTCAAAATTGTCAAAAATTTATGAAAATTTTTAATTTTTTTTACATTTTGAACTGAGTATGCAGTTTTATTAATCTACCTAAAACTAACATAGGACCGCTTTCCGAATTAAAATTAATGCACTTTTCCCTGAGTTATGAGTTTTTGAAATTTAGATTTTTCTTAAAATATTGACATAAAAATATTTATAATTATCTATTCAAAGAATGCGAATTCATCGCATCTTTCTGTAATTTCACCCAAAACTCGGTCGCCGCTCTGACATAATCAATTTCAATGTCGATTTCTTATCACAAAATGAAGAAAAAGACAAAAAACAACAAGAAATAAAAATAAAAATAAAAAAACCCGCTCTTTTCTGTCGGTGGCCAAGTGAAAGGCCGGTGGACGGGACTGGGCCATCACCACAAAAAAGCCACCAAAAACAGGTGGCTATCGAAGCCATTAAGGGGAACCTTTCCATTCCAAAAAAGAGATGGAATTGCAGATGCAGTTTCAAATACAGATACATTTGCAGATACTGAGGCAGATGCAGATACAGTATCTTTATCTGAGACTGACGATGTCGTCTATCATTGCTTTGGCAATTTCTCGCGCAATTTCTTGGCTTTTCTTTTTTAGGGTTTTATTTTTTTCTTGGATTTTTATTTTTTTTTTTGTGTGTGATTTGTTTTTTGCGAAAAACCACAACAAAATCCGTTGTAAAAATGTCGAAAAAAAAATAAAGTTGCACGAAATTGGGTCAGCAGCGGCGAAGCAGACAGCAAACGAGTTTAGTTTTTTGTTTTTGTTTTTCGCGGCTCCGGGACCAGGTAAACCTGTTGGCCCGGCTCCGGTCCGGTCCGGCCTGGAGTTATACCCCGATATCTCCCCCGATTTCCTATCGACATGCGTCATTTTACAATTGAGAGAAAAAAAAGCGCGGAATAAAAACGGAATATTTGTAAATGCGTTAGTTGGTAACAGTATTTTTTTTTTAAAGTTGTCAATGAAATATTAAGTGTACTCAGATTGATGAAAAAATAATAATTAAACATATATAAATATAGTTCTTAAAGGTCAAAGGAGTTAAGGAAATCCTCATAATCAAAATAATAATTGTACTATTTAGTTTTAAAAGTAAATTTATATTTTAATTGATAGTTTTTTTAAATGATTAAAATGTTGTTACCTTTGCCCTTTGTGTTCTTTATACTTTATTTGCTTTTGGAGAGCTTAGAAAAAATCTTAGAACGTAATTTGATTTCCTTAAACATTTTTTAAAGGAACTACAAAACTTAAAAAAAAAAATCTGGAAAAAATCTTAGAACTTAATTTAGTTCCTCTAAAAATTTTTAATAGGAACTACAAAACTTTAAAATGCTTTTAATGTTTGACTTGCACTAAAATTCTTATTAGGTTCTAGCAAACAAATGGCTACAAGACAAATAATGCATATATAAAAAGCCAGGTGGAATAATTGTGCCTTATAAAATGTATAATGATTAAAATTGTTATATATTAAATTCTACATATCATTTTCAAGAAATTTGTATGAATAACTATATATATATTTATGTTAAATATAATAAAAGTTCTTTTGCCCTAATGTCTTGGCCATATCTGTGAATATATTTGGTATTAGCTAAAGGCAATTAGACTTCCTGTCCGTCTGAAGGCCATGATCAACGATCACTGATCAGTGATCACTGACTTCCCCTCTTTACATTATTTTCTGTAGTTTTTTTATTGTAGTTTTGTTGTAGTTTCTTTTCTTTTCGTTTTGGTTAGCACCCACGCACACGCACTTGATCATGATGATTGAGACAATTAAAGTGATTTGCTTGGCGATTTTATGCGCTAATTTGGTGAAGACAATCACAGACATCACTCAGTCAGTCACTCACTCCACTCATTGGGTTTATTTTTTTGTGTTTTTTGTTTGATGAAGTCGTTTTGGGTTAACCATATTTCAGTGTCAGTCAGTCGTTGGTGTCATTTCGTGTCAGTCACCTTGATGCTTTTTTTTTTTAGGGGGGGGGGGGGGGAAAGGGAAGAGAAACATATGTCATTGTGTCAATGACTTGGATTTCGCCCACAAAACAGCAAATAGTAGTAACCGTATTCAAAAATGCTGCAATTAATTAATTATAATACTTAAAGCTTAATTGCTTAGCGGCAAATTTCATTTAGCTGCAACAACACCTGGGGGAAATGCCGGTAGCATAAATGTTGCAAGCTTGCAAGCTTGCAACTTACTTTGCGGCAATGCGATGCGTGCCAAATGTTAATTAAACTATGCACTGGCCATTAAGACAAACAAATCAACAACAAAAAAGAGAGTAATATTAACAAAATGAATAGAAAATAAAGGAAAGAAAAGAAAAGATTTATCTACTTCACATAAAATGTAATAATTTAAGTAACAAATTAAATAGATAAACTAGGAAACAAAATATACTCTAATTATAGTAGTTTTTTTTAAGCTTTTATTACTAACAATATTTATATTGTTCATATTTTATATAAAAGAGAGAGATACTTGTATTTTCAATACTATTTTAAGAACTGATAATAAGGGTAATAAGGATTATTTTTGAAACAAAACCCATAATAGTCTGTGTTGAAGTCTTTTCAAAATGTGTGTTTTGTTAT